TGTTAACCTTATGAGTATTCATATTTAAAGGGGATAAAAGAATTTAGTCAGCTGTTTCGACTTAAAAAGTTGGTTCTATGGTATGCAAAAGCATTAAAAGTTATAAGATTTACCAACAGGGTGCAGCATTATTACTTTTTTTGCATTTATGGAAACAGTTAATTTGAACTAAGCAACAACAAAAAACTTATATCATAACATAAAAGTTATATCATAAACAAAAAACTATGATATGCAATGAGAAGTGTCAAAGTGGGATTGTTTACAGTTAGTTTACTTTTATGTTTTTAATCTCATGAATCATCATATGTGATATTTTGCGAATCTTTAACAATTCATTTTTCTCTATTGTTTAGGTGAAGTGGTAGAATATTATGGCTATGATAGATGTGTAATGTGTATGTGTGTAATGTGTGTAATGTGTATAGTATACCGTAAATTTAAAGAAGCAAATTTGATCAAATTGTGTCGTCCCCCATTGCAAACGCAATGCTTGAGTATAACTGCAATAAGCATTTTATACTTATATGCCAATCCCGTACGAAGGACGGGTACTCTGCTAGTGACAAAATATACAAGAATTTTCATAATAAACTTTGAACATTACCTATTTATGGTCGAATTTTTTACCACTGGGCGAACTCTATGTTTTAGGTGGCTAGGCTATATAAGCATCCTCTTCCCGTTGCAAAGCACGAGACAACTAGTATAAAATATAAACAGAATTAAATAAAGTATATTTTAAACTCGCAATTTCACGCGGAGTTGAAGTAACAATTTAATAATAAAAACAATTAAATATAAAGTTTTTAAACGCACTAAAAAGTAGAAAATAATTTATAAACATGTGAAGAGAATGGATACTTGTAAAATTTAAAACGAAAAAGGGGCGCATGCAATAGCTAATTTACGATTATCCCTATTGAAATATTATTATCTGTTGAATGCGCCCCTTGTTTTTCGTTTTAAATCTTGCAAGTATTTATTCTCTCCCCATATTTATAAACTAGAAGAAGAAGAAGAAGAAGAAGAAGAAACCTGCTTTATTTTTCACAAAAAAACATTTACTACATTACATAAAAGCATAAATCAACAATGGTTATAAAACCGTCTGTTGTGGTTGGTACAAAGCAATATTCTTTTAGTAAAAATAATAACAATCTCTAAAGTATAAAAATAAAAAGCTACTTGAAAACACATCCAAATTTAAGTACTCTGAGCATGAGGATGAGAGACAGACAATTTGTTACATACAGTCAACTAAACACAATTAATATGAAATACATAAAACAAGGAATGAACAGAAGTACAAAAAACTATATCTAATTATACAACGCTCTAGTCAAAGTTAAATTCGTTTATCAATGCCCATCAATATTTCCAAGCGGCTTTCAAATATTTAGCAAGTATCCGCCAATTCATCCCATCATAATTCATTTGACTTAAAGTTTGTTCCCCAAAAAACCGTTTTCTTAAATGCTGAAAGACAGGACATTTTGCTATGAAGTTAAATGTTGTTTCATTTTCCTGAAGGTTGCATAACGAACATAAATAATTTCGTTGTAACCAAGGCTTATAGTTTAAATCGATAAGTTCGGCTCTAGCTTTTATGGCCCAAGAGATAACGTCAACATTGTTATCACAGAGTGGACTCCTGTCGCCAAGCTCAAGGTCAAGGGACAGCCAACTGACTGTGGTCAGTGTGGTCATACTACTATAACCCAGAATGCCAACCGCATGGTAAAAACCATTAAGCGTTTTGAGAGAGCTTTGCCTGGTTATAGTAGTATGTTTTCTGTGCTGTGGTACAAAGACGTACGAGCCCAATCTCCCCACCATACGGCTTTTAAGTGTTCCTTTACACTTGCCAATTCCTCTCCTATATTTATCAACTATTTTCTACTTTTAAGTGCGTTTAAAAACGTGGCATTTTAAAAAGTTTTTTATTTATAAATTATTTTATACTTTTTTAGTCTTTATTGTTTAAATATGTTAAAATTAATTTTTTATGACTAGCCAAAACCTTTATAACTGTAATTACATGTTGTTGCTATAATCATAAAACTTTATAATCTCTAGGGAGCAGAATCTGCACCTCTTAACCTCTGTCTGCTCTTTGAACAAACTGTCAAATTTGTATTTGCAGCTGACTTCGATTGATATATTTACATTTTATCCAAAATACAAACATTGAAATTTTTGAAGCCCAGAAAAATTTTGGGGCGTAGCCCCGAAAAAATATGAAAATAAAACGATTTAATATGGCTTTGTAATTAATTTGTGAAATATGTTTCAAGTTTAAAGTCGAAAAATTTCAAGTTACAACAAAAAGAAATACAAAACGTCAGGCCGCATTTGCCATGTCAGTAGTTCTGTAGTTCCTGCGTTGTTTTGTCTTTGCCAGTTTGTTTTGTGATCGTGCCAGAACAAGATGGCGAAAGTTGAGAAGTTATGGAAACTTGGGTGACTAGAGCGGCGGCAAATTACCCACAGCCAAACTAGTCCGGGGTTTCACATTCCACACATGATCTATAGAGTATGATACTTCGTCCGTTGGTTTGTGTCAAGCTTGAAACAAAATTGCAATCATACCTAAACTAAAACTGCGAAAGCGACTCGATCCCCACAAAGGATTTGGATATTCCGGGACTTGAACACGTCCCTCAAGTCTGAAAAGCGTGGCTAGCATCATATACGTGATTTCAATTTTCACATGATTTTCTAAAAAAAAACTGGAAAAACAAATTTGTCTAAAAATGGCCCGAACGATTTTGGTTAAAATTTAGTACCGTTAAGCGATCGTTTTTTTTAACTCAAAACTGTACGTCACCACCCCAATCGCTGCAAAATTACGGATCAAAAGCTATTGTAACTTATTCTCCAAAACACATTACCTCGAGGTCCCGGGTTCAAATCTAGTCAATAACCAATGCATTTTTATCGAAGTGATAATACCCCGACCCCCTCTAGACCTAGCCTTGTGTGCGGAAACAATTCTGTAATTCTGTGATAAAACCTAGGAAATAAAATCACAAAGTCAAATAACGTTGCAAAGTGTTTGTTCGCCTTGTTCTATTGAACACTACGGGCGAGTCGCCAAAGTGCTGCGGTTTGCAGTATGGATCCAGCAGGTGCCGCCCTTGCCTTAACCAAACGTTCTATGACACCACATTATAAGACTTTCAAACCAGGGGTGTACGGTGTACTGTATAAAATGTAATGTAAAATCAGAATGTATACTATTTAAACTTAGCTAAAGTTTTTAGCTAAAATATAATATAATAATAACCTTCACATTTATTTCTCTAGAGGGGGTGAAGAAAAGGTAGTAGTATTTTGTATTTTTTATCCAATTTAAAATATAGGCCCTACTTATAGTTCACGGATTTCTGATAAACTTTGTCATAATAGTGAGATTTTATAAAATGGTTTTAAAACGCTCTAATAAAAAAATCATAACGTAGGCCATGGAAAAACACCACAACAATAAAATGGTATATTTCATTACTAGGACCGAAAGTGTCATTTTTCTGCGCAAGCTCAAGATTCATCACACAGGAAAACAAAATTTCACATACGAGGTGAAGCCGTGGACGGGAATAATGGAGAAGTGTCGGGGAATAGCTTTCGGTACGAGTTATGAACTATACTTTTCATCACGACGCAAAAATACACACATACAGAATAACATTCATCAGAAGTATTAAAATAGTATTAGTATTAGACGACTCTTTATCTTTGAAAATCTACTTCACAACGTATGGGGTTTCATGATTATAGATTTTTTTTAGATTAATATATTAATAATTAATCCACCACTTACTTTAATTGACTTAACATGTAATTCGGTCTGTAAACTTTCTGTATTCCTATTCCTGCTCTTCATATATTTTCCTGAGATTTCTCTGGTGGAAGACGGTTAGTTACTTCTGAAGCTGTTTTCATCTAATAATCAGGAATAGACATATTTTGAACAATTTCAAACTCACACTATGCTAAAACACAGTAAAACAATCTAATGCCTGTTTCTATATACATTTAGATTGTGTAATAATGAAAACAGCAGATTTTATTAATTAAAATAAACCGTAAAAACACTAGCACGCGTGGTTGATAAATATAGAACTAATCCAGGGTGAGGAAATGTAAATTTAGAGCGAGGGAAAATCAGCTGATACTTTTTCCCTCGCTATTAATTAGAGCTTGGGAAACAACTACTTTCTTTGATATCAGCTGTTATTGAAAATAGTTACTTTCGATATGGAGTGATGAAAAATAATGTTGATCACAGATCTAAATTGCTACTCCGTGTTGATTAATCTTTTTAAAAACTTACTGGTATGTATTTTAACTTCTTTGCCTTTAGCATTGATTTTATAATTCAGTTTTAACAAACAAGCTATCCAAATTGCTTGTCGCTTCTGCATACAAACCAGCCCCTTCCCCCACGACATCCCCCTCTCATTTCGGGGTTCCACTGTTATCGCAGATACCAATATTAGTTTTTCATCCAGTAATAAATTTTAGTTTGAAACCGCAACTTTCCGAGTATTAGTTTAAACTTTTTCATCTAACCTTTTGCACAGAAATATATTTATCTATATAAAAAACGTTTTTTATTGTTCAATTTCTAGTTTTGTAAAAATGTTTTACTAAATACTTGTCCACAAGGGATACTTGATAAAGGTTAATCGATAGTAATCTAGTTGCAAATTCCTATCTTTATCATTCAATGGGATTTAATTTGGTTGCAACGGAATTGAATGCCCTACTTTTTCAAAAGTTTGGATGCAAGAACATACAATATTCATTGTGATTTAGAAAAAAGGTGAGTTATTAAGTTTTTTTGATGGAAATAGTCATGTAAGAGGTTTCTAACAGGATGTGTAATGGCGTTTTCAAGGGGATTGATGTGAAAAGTGCAGTGTCGTGTAAACAATAAGGACTTTATTTTAAAATTTATTTTACGATGTTCCGTGGTTCAACAAATTTATTTCCAGGACGGGAGGAGGCAGTATGCTGGGCGACGTTAACATCTCGGCAACTCTCGATTCCTTCAGTATCAGTTACGACAAACGAGTACGACCCAACTACGGACGTAAGTCAATCATTTTACTAAGTTTGACTAGTTGTGAGTGATTAGAGGAATAACACTAACTGGGAATCAAAAGTCAAATACATAAAGTCTATGAGTTGTAAGAAAACCCCTGATTTATATAACGAATGACTACACACTACTATTTGATTTGTCAATTCAATCAAACCATCTGGAAAGTATTCTGCTGACGGCTGAAAAATGTCACTGAAGCAGACACTGTTTGAAAATGGTTTAGTAAAACAGTTGATTGTAATTTTGCTACAATGAATCAGTTGGTATACTTACATGCAGTTTACTTTAGTGGTGAATTTTAAGAGGGCGAGGGGGAGATCTGTGCGGGGTACCTACTTGCTATTGTCAAGGGTATAGTTAATTAAGGGATATATTTGGTTTATTTAAGAATTTGTTATCTTCCTCAGCAGTGGTGGATTATGACCTCAGCGACTCCCACATGGCAAGATCTACCAGGGGGTCTGGGGGTTCTCCCCCAGTAAATGTTCTAAAACTGGCTTTAAATTTGTTTGTTTTTTAAACATTTTCAAACTATTTTTACAACAACTTTATTTTTATTTTTCTGTCTGCTTGTGTCTAATGGGTAATCCACCACTGTCCCTCAGATAAGTGTTAGTAAAAATCAAATCCTGTTTTATTTAAAAACTTTTTGTTTGATTTTCAGTTCGGTTCGGTGATTTTACTACAATATTTCTATGTTAATGTGTTAACTTTTCTTAAGTAACGCACTGAGAGATGACAATGACTTTTAATTTTTAAATGGTGAACTTTGACTTATTACGTCTTAGTTGGTTATACAGTGTTATTTTGTCATTTAACCTTACTTTTAGCTTAGTAAACTAAACACTCATCCCACAATACCTTGAAAAGTGGAAAAGAGATATTATACATCCAACCATAGCCTATACAAACTTAAAACATTACAGGGCAAATTTTATTAAACTTTCAACATTTTAACTGACCGAATTCCAACTGATTAAAGGGTATAATGCATCTAAAACTGAGTAATATACTTGGCTGTCGGCTCACCTACTTTTTCATTCAACCATAGATTAAAGAGTCCACTCATATCTTTGAGATTTAATTTAATGACATAAAATAATAAAGCACAGCTAAAAGTTAAAGTTAATATTGATAATAATGTTTACCTGAAACTATGTTATGATCAGATTCAGTCTGAAGGTTTTAAGGTAAAGTTGGTGAAGATATTTTCACAAGAGACTACATTGAAAAGAGATGAATGCAGTATATTATTTATACTTTAGTAGTAGCTCAGAGGAATACTGAGCAACAATCTGTCTCTTGTCTGTACACTGTAGTATGACAGATTCTTATACTTACTGGGACTGTTTTTTTAGAGTGTTTAAAGAGTTTGAATGATTTTTTTGTTGTTGCTCAAAGTGTTCAAAATGATCTTTTTAGCTGTTTTGGAGTGTTCGATCGACACATCTGAGTTTGAGTGTTTGAATGAATGATTGATATATTGGCACAAAACGTACAGAATATTTGAATATACAGTTTGAATACCTAATTTGAGTAAATTAAAGTTTTAGAATGACTTGTTTATAGTGTTAGAATGACTCATTTACCTCCTTATTTAGAATGACCTTTAAGTAATTTCAAGGGTTTGATTGACTCGATTGAGTTTTTAAGTGTTTAACAGCACCTTTGAGTAATTTAAAGTGTTAGAATGACTCGTTTGAGTTTTTGTTACTTCCAGGAACTCCCGTGGAAGTGGGTGTAACGATGTATGTCCTCTCCATTGGCTCTCTCAATGAAGTCAAGATGGTACTACGTAGTAAACTTTACCTCTGCACTTTTATTTGCAGTAAAAATGACTCATGATAAACGTTTTTCTCGACTGTAAAAAGCAAAGACCACAATTCGAATTCACTCAATGACACTCACGATGTTCAGTAGTCACTCAAAAAGAATCTGTATTCGGACACATCCAAACCACTCAGGGGAACATGTTTATCCTGATCATGTTGCGCTGATTTTTTATTTTCTGTAGGAACGATTTTTATCCGTCTTTGTTATAGGAGATAGAGTTTCAGACGGTAGTTGCCTTTTTATTGACATGCATGGATTTTAGCTTTTACCTTTATAGAGACAGTTTGGTCTGCGAGTGGTTGCCTTCCCCGGTTGCCTCGGTGCGGGCACGTTAGATCTTACGGCACCACTTGGCATGCTTGTTCATTTAGTGACCAGTTTATTATTTCAGCTGGTATGCTTTGGAAGGATTGTATTCAACCAGACCGATCTTTACCCAAAAATTTGTGAGGTGTAATTAAAACTTTTATAACATTTGGAAGAATCACTTTGAAAATGTCAACAAATAAATGAGGTCTGAATCTATTAACTTTCTATAAAACTTTTCAACGTTTCTAAATCCCGTAATGTACGATTTAAAAACATGTTTATATAAATGGACTACTCTAGAACTCACACTTGTAGCACTGCTTTCGAAGCACATAAATTCAAACACAAAAAGTATCCCCAGTAGACTCAAATTTTCGACTATCATTTCACAACTTTCCAAATTTGAACACAAATCGAGTTAGGAATGAGGAAACAAAATTGTGACTACTTTAAGTTGTATATGAGAGTAAAGGTGTATTATATATTGCAGGACAGCCAGTTAACGTGGGCGTGACTATGTACGTACTGAGCATCAGCTCGGTATCCGAAGTGCAAATGGTACTTAGTATTTCGTCCAATGTTTCTTGATGTCATCTGTGGCCTGACCTGGTCCTCCCTTCCTTGTACAACTTGCTTTTTATTGCACCCTTTTTTTGGAAAAACTAACTCTAAACTAAATAGTCTAGTGTTTAGCGATATGACTCAAATCAACCGAGAATTTAAACTAAAGTTTGTAATTTACAAATCTTAATGGAGTATCAAAACTAATACCGCGAAGAAATGTTTTTATTGCACTTTTTTTAAAAAACTTACTCTTAACAACTAAATGGTCTAGTGTTTAGCGATATGAGTAAAATTACCCGTGGTTTGAAAGTTCGTAAGTCTCTTAGTGAGTCTTAATTCAACATATATAGAAACTTATACCGTGAAGAAATATTTTTTGTGGTCGTATGTATACCGTTAATTGCAATCGTTTGAGTAGATTTAAATGTACCAGTGATAATATCAATGTAGTGGAAAAGTACAAATTTTACAGTGATAACTTAGGATTTATTGTATTTATTGATCAACAATAATGCATTAACCATCTTGCATTCACTTAAAAAGTTACTTTTCGTAAAATTCTTCTCACAGCATGAATTATAAACTTTTTTCTTGGATTCTGAAAAATTTCAAACCCCGTCTGGAAGAACCGTTGTAACCACTAAAAACAGACACTCAAGATTTTTTGTGTGAATTTTTTTAAAGTTCAACTAGAAATTCAAAACTAGTCAAACGAGAAATTAGTTTGATTTTAGCAACTCTATTGCATAGATAGTTATGGTATATTAAAAAAAACACCTGAAAAAACAAAAAGATATTCGTCTAATAACAATATTTACACTTATACGTGGTGATCGATTTCGATTAGACACTCCAATCATCATCAGACCCTATAAGCGAAAGGTTTGGTCATTCGCCTTATTGGGTCTGATGATGATTGGAGCGACCAATCGAAATCGATCACCACTTACAACCTTTCATGTATTTACCGTCTTAAGAGTCACCAGTTCAAGTGTAAATATATTAGTACAAGTGTTATTCGATGTATATCTTTTTGTGTTTTACGGGTAATTTAATAACACGTACGATGCTGATCAAGAAGTTATTCATTAAAAACAATAAAATAAATATGTTAATAAAAGTTTTTTACTTCTATGTTATTTGTCATAAGTTTAAATATTAGCCATACCTACACAAAAAACACATAAAAAATATGCTCTATCATAATTGTTTTACATTTACTTCATGTTCAATGATAATTTTCATATATTACAGCAGTAGTTAATCATAAGAACAAATTTTACTTCGGATATGAATTGGAAACAGTGACGTGTTTAAGCGAGGTTTTGAGTAAAAGCGAATGCTGCAAAAACCGTAATATAAAAATAATCCCAATTTTAAAAATATTACCACATTTCAGGCAGTTTAGATATGAAACTGGTTACTCTATATGATTGAAACTATAGGCTACACAGCTGGGATACATTCAGTCAGAAAATTGGAATTGTATAACAATAAAAGCAAAGCGAATCAAATAAACATTAAGAATCTCAACTGATATTTATAAAACCATTTAGAAATTTGCATGACTGTTTAATCTGGTAAATCAATGTACCCTCTACTGCTCTTGATGTTGCTGTGTTAAATGTTCAGAAACAACCAACATTTTGTTAGAGCTTTCAACAAACGTCTCGTCTGCAATTAAAAGCATGAATTTCATATGCATAAATACAAATCTAAGTTTTCATAATCTTAGTAATATTTTTTTGGTTTTTTTTCAATAAAGTCTACTTTTAAAATTGAAAACTGAAAACATCTATCTTGTGACAGGGTTGATCAATAGAATAAATACCTCTGAAAAGACTTTTTAAGTGTTTGTTGGTGTAGGATTTTCTAAAATTACATTCACACTAGTTACTTTGCCACTATAAAGCAGTCCTTGGTGCAGATTTTGTCATCACATGAGTTTTTCTTGTTTCAATGCTATAATTTTGAGAAACATTTTCCATTTTCTTCCATTACTTTGTTTTTATAAAAGTTTATACTGTACAATTTTATACTAAATTTCTTAAAAAATCTATCCAGTAAAAGCCACATTATTTTGGCAGTGCTGTGAAACGGAAGCGAATTGATTTTAAAATAAGTTAGCTTATTCCATGCCCTTTTCCTATTACAATGACTTAATTTTGCAAAAAACTCATCTTTTGCTCTTCATCCCTTCAATTCCTTTAGATATCTCTTTCCTATAATTTTCAGAGATACTTACCCTAAAAAATCTCAAATTTAACAATATTTTATTCATATTGGCAATGTCGGTTTTAAGTTTGTGTGTAAGTACTGACTACAAAAGTACTTTAAACGTACAATATTCACTATATCCAGCAATATTTAATGACAAGTTTCGTTGTTCATCCTTACTGTCTCATTTTAAAATTAGGTGTCACATTCGTGCAAAATAAAAAGTTACATTTTGCTATAACCCAAAATATAATGCGCAACATAAGACAAGTTCACGTGAATTAGTGGCTAATTAATTACAATTTCTAATCGCTACATTATTTTTCGAAAAGCCAATACAAACTGTTCAATAACAAAACATGTTGACTTAAATCTTGTAACCACTTTGGAAAATAACCTATTATTTTATTCGTAAATTGTTAAAATACCTCAATAATATTTTACGGCAAATTTAGTCCCAGGACCAATTTTACTTCTTCACAGTTACAGATCATCAAGACATTCTGAGTGACTTCCCTGCGACGATTCTATATTTTCATCTCATTCAATATTCTACAAAACCGTTTAGTTCTCTATATGGTTGGTGGTTGGGCTGTGCATGTACGAGCATGTATGTAACATGCATGTATGCATTGATGTAATTCGTAGAGATTGTACCTAATGTAAGTGATTTAGTTTGATAGTTTTAAGGGGGGGAAAACTGAAAAAGAACTTCTAAATGATTTTGTAGTGTAGTGGAAGTCAGGAGTGCACTATTGTGAGCTGTTGGTAATTTCATTGCAATTTTATTTTACCCCAGTACTCAAACTTGTTGAGTATCAGTAATAGTTCCCTTTAATAGTCAGAAATAGTGTTTTAATGTTTAAAACAATTAACAATAGAATTAAGAATTTTCCACCGAAATAGAATGCTATATTTTCAGAACATCCTTTGAGTGATTAAAGGCCAAGACTGAAAATCAATTAGTTCAGTCTACTAAAATCACCTTTTAATATAACAAAAATTAAGTTAGGTATAAAAATCACCACACTTTCATCATGCAGATTAATTAACAGCTGTGTCTAAGGAATATGCCGGCCTTAGTCACTAACAAGACTACAAGATCGCGCCAATCATCTTACACTCATCTTCATTCATACTTGGCTTAAAATACCAAGGTACCTTTGTATGGTCGCCATTTCAAAGAAATAGTATTAAATAGATGTAATCGATATGTTTCAACTAAACTAATGTTTCTAAACTAAGTCTCAATCAAGATTCAAATTCGAGGTTTATTCAGCTGCATTCAAAAATCAAGTTTCAAATTTAATTAAAACCTAATGATTAAACTCGCACCTTCAACTGTTCTGTCCGATCAAAACAGTGGACGAAATAGAATCAGATAGTTATTATCAAGACCCGAAATCGTAGAAAAGTTTGGGACAGTTTTATTTTATTTTGTTTTTTAATGGGTGAAATTTATATACTGTAATTTTGGGGCACGAATCTCGGGATATCCATTGCGACTGCCGGTGACAGCCTCAAACCTTTGATTGACGGAAATGATAACGGATTACAATCTGAAGTAAATGATATAAAGGCACATTACACCAAATTGACTTAATCATTCCATCTCTCATTTGTATAACTATCGGTACATCATAAGGGATTTGGAATTCATGGATTCAATAATTTCTAATTTGACAGACTGATATTACATGAATGACCTTATGATGTGTGCATATCTGGCGTTTGCTAGCAACTATAAACTTAAAATTCAATACTTCGTTACCTAGTTTTGTTTATTGGTCATCTACCGAACCGGTTTTCATTCCTCACAAATTATATTTTCTTTTTCATAATTGATAGTTGTGTATTGTATTGGTGATTTTACAGTGTGGTGAAAAATTATATTTTGTACCTCGAGTCTTTAAGACTTATTGCACAATCTAATTGTTTACTCTTACTTTATTGAATTAAGATAAGTTTAATCTAATAGTCACATTAAGATACCTTATTATTTTCAAACCTTACAAAATAAAAAAACCAAAAGATAGGTACCATACTATTAATATACTGTAACTATATATATGTCACGAAAAGTCCTAGAAAAGGATCAACAACACAGATTATTCACATTCCAAAATACCTCAAATCAATCAGAACAAGTATGAAGGGAAATAATTAACACTCAGAGGGCTCCAAATATTCCTTCCAAAAGAGACTATAAACTAGATTAACTGACTGTAAAAAAATATGTTTTAACAATATCTACCATAAAAATATTATAAACGTTGTCATAAAAAAAGTTATATCAAAGTCACCAATTACAAATACCTTAAAATACACAAATTGTTAACTAATTCGGATATAGTATTAAACTAAACATTTTAAATAAACTTAAAATTATACATAAACATAAAGTACGTAACTTACATATTAATATTTTCAAGTATTTATTGTGTTGTAGATATATATAAAAGTGGTAAACTTGTTACATTTAAAAACACTTTTCCTGTTTCATTTTCGTAATGGAAGGTATAGTTCATTTCACGAAACACTCACGAACAGTGCACTCCCTTAGAACAATAGGTGCCTGAAACAATGGTCAAACTGTTGTAAGGCTTTATAAAGGAAGGGAATTTCAATTTTAAAATAATCAATTTATTCATCTGAGAATTGAAATTGAGTAAATCATACATAGTTACCAAAATAATATCATACTGAAAATGATTAGTGAAGACAGAAAAACTAGCAATGCCTTAAGTAGTAAATTCAGCTACAGTTGTAGTCAAGGCAATCAGAATCTAAAATAATTTCAATTGAAAGGAAAAGAACTAAAAGAAAACAGAATAGTATTAGATAGAAAAGAGAAAATTAACAATTTGCAATTAGCTATGTATTTACTTAGTTTACCAAATCATCCTTAACCATACCTTCCATAACTATCCACTAAAACAAATGTTGTTCTTGTCTGTTCCAGGATTTTACCCTTGATTTCTACTTCCGCCAGTTCTGGACAGATCCCCGACTTGCTTTTGAGAAGAAGCCCGGAGTCGAAACTTTATCTGTTGGCTCCGAATTTATAAAAAACATCTGGGTTCCCGACACATTTTTTGTAAACGAGAAGCAATCTTATTTTCACAGCGCAACCACCAGCAATGAATTCATCAGAGTTCACCATTCTGGAAGCATCACCAGAAGCATAAGGTTAGTTTATAGTAAGAAATAGCTTCCTTAAATTACTTGCTTTATATTACCCTATATTCAAAAACATCCCGTTATCATAATTTTATTTCAGCTAAGATCTACTAAAATTATTGATTACTTTCTAATAAAAAATGGTAATAACAGATTTTCCTTTCTGAAGCCAACAATATTTTGTTTGTATCAATTGGAAATTCCAGTTTAGTTAAAACAGTGTTATAGATTACGAGAAGTGTCATGAGTAGTCAAACACTTTATTTCAAGCACCATTCTGAAATATGCACCAGCTGTAATCCTCTTTTACCGAGCATTTTTTGTTTGTTTAAAATTGCCTGAAACGTCAAAAGCCATGTTAGGGCCATGTCATACGAGCGCTATTGCCGTCGCGCAGATGCCGTCGAGATAGCGCCGGAAAAAGTACTGTCATACGTGACGGCAAATGCGTCGCGTTGATGCCGTCCCGCCAACGCCAGGTGCCTGTCATATGTAGCGTCTTCCGGGCGCATTTGCCGTCGTGGCAATTATGTTCAAGATGGACACCATCCAGTTAGGTTGTATCAGCTTTTTACACATTTTAGATACATATGAAGAGTATTATCGGAAGAATCCAAGACGATGGGGAACCCATCCTGAGCTTTCTTATCGTTTGTCGACAGGACAGTTCCATCTGATGTTCCAGGAACACAGGAAGTATGAAGATAAATTTTTTAGTTACTATCGAATGTCGGTTGCTTCTTTTGACGACTAAATCAATTTTTTTTTCCGTACCAAACATCGTATCAAATATCGTAATAATCACTCCAAAGGTGTTCCAATTGTTCTGACAGGGTCCTGCGTCATGTGCGCCGCGTCGCTAGCGCGACTGTCCGCGTTGGCTGCGCTCAGCGTCCGGCTGATGCGGACTCGCCAACGGCATTAGCGTCCGTATGACATGCTCCATAAGAACCCTATTGCCGGGTTGGAGCAACTTTAACACGACGGCATCTAAGCGACGGCAATAGCGCTCATATGACATGGCCCTTAGACATTTACTGCAATATGTAAGCTCACCAGAGTGATTGGATTATTTCTTTTTGCCATTCTATGTTCAAACAGCTGACTTAGAAATATATTTGAAACCGGGCTTCATTTACAAAACATTTTGTTAGATTTGATCGCTTATCACAAGTTGTTCTTGTTATGTTTGTCAAATCATCAAATTCCTATGCCATAAGGGTATTTTTATTTGAAGAGGGTGGTGCAAATATCTCTTGGGACCATAGGACGCCCGATGCAAACTACGGACCTTTTCATCTAATCTCACTCGCTGATTCAAATTTCAGATTAACCATCACCGCTTCTTGTCCAATGAACCTTCAATACTTCCCGATGGACCGACAACTCTGCTACATAGAAATTGAAAGTTGTAAGTAATTGAAATAACCGCTGAACAATTCCGAGATAGCATAGTCATAGCGTTAATACCTACTTTTTGAGTGAATAGACAAATTGTTTCAAAGTTATACTATCGTGTGTGCTATTTATATATTCCAAAATGTATATAAAGTCACATATCTGTTGCTTGGGTTCTGTCTCCTTCCCACCGCACTGTAGTTCGTGCCACGGAGGGAAACGCTTATCAATGTTGCACTATGGGAACCTTCCGTCGGATCAAAGGTCAAACATTTCGCACAGAGTGGTTCATGTGTGTGCAGGATGCTCTTTGTGTTTGTTTTGTTTGAGTTCATTGCTGTTACTGTTTTGTGTTTGTGAAAATGTATTTACATTTATCCCATTAAACGAGCCAAACAGGCCTGGAAATGTAAAACTTTTTGAGGATTTGTACTGCACTTCCCTGTAACAATACTCAAACATGCATTGAATATTTTCAAAATGTAAAAAATATAGTCACAACATTATGATGTACATGTAATAATAAAAATACCTACTTAACAACACAAATATTCAACTAACTCACTCGGCATTGGTTGAAGCTGAGTGATATTTATAATACTGATGAAAGATTACCCTTAGTAAGTAGTCGTCTTGGAAACATACAAGTTCCTCTAATCTTCAATGGCTTTTATTTGTGATAATGCCGTGACTTGAGTTCTCAAAGCTCACCTTTTGCTACAGCTCTACCTATAAATAGAACAAAAAAGTATTAGTTAAACAAATATAACTATCTCATCGGATAGTATTGGAGAATTTTTCCCATTAAAACCCCGGACAATCCTTTATTTTGAAATCTGCCTTGGTGTGCAGCATGTTCTTATATGATGCTAGTGATTGAAATTATATTTTAGCTAGATTTTATCCTATGTTTTGCACATGTTATTTTATTTTGCACATTACAAACTTTGAAGTTATTTTTATTTTTTTAAAGTCGAAATACTTTTTTTGTGTAAGCTTGAAAGGGAAAAAACCACTTAATTGATTCTAGTACAAGAATAAGGAAGCAAAGATATAAATAAAAGTGTGAAGTAAAATCCTTTAAAAATCCACTGATCTATAAAGGTTTTTTTGTATCAATGAAATTAGCAAACTTTTTTACAGGATAGATATGAAATCTGAAAAATAATTTAATTAATGTAATGAAATCTCAAGTTTTTTACTAAATTGATCAAATCTATAGTTGATGGTTCCCCTTACATTTACCGTACCTATTAAGAAAATGTAATAATTAACACATATTTTTATATATTCAGTGAGAGGTTTATTGTAATTTCAAAGTCTAATATAAACGACTAAACATGTTAATATTTTTTATGAAATACCAATATGCTCTTACCTCTTACGGATAAATAATTTCAAATACTCACTTTTCTCGTTTATTCTGATAGAGCTTATTTTTGACTGAAACTTATAATAACCAAAACTAATAAGTATTCTCTATAGACAGTGAAAAATGTTTGATTGGTTTTAATTAATAAAATTGTACATATTGTATTGCAATAGTAACAATTAAATGCATTTTTTAGTTACAAAAAAATTTGTAATTTTTGTACACATCCAATTGCAAATACTTCTAAATTCTACCAATCCATTCAAAAATTTGAAAAAGTTGATAAGATACAATATACTTTGTTCATTTGAGATGTGTTTACATGTCTGTCATAAGCAGATGGTAAAGGCACGGCGCAGTGGGCAAGGAGACAGAAACCGCACAGGTACCAACCAATGGAGAAACATCCACAGCTGTTGTGTTCAAAGATAAATGCGTAGCTAAAAATGAAACATTTTTTAAGGAAAATAATTGAACTGGCTTCAACATCTGTTGCGGTTGTGATTATTAAGAGTTTAAAATGGGTATTTTATGTTTTGGTAGTCTTTGTCAAACATCAATCTTGTTGAAAGGATAGTTTTTGCCCTAACAGTGTCATGAGCATTTCACAGTGGTAACTACACTGCTTTAACATGTGTAAGGTCTCACCTGTGATAGCTAGCGTCGCATGTCTTTAGAGGCACTTGTCCCGGCCGGCCGAGTTGACTAACGTGTTGCACTGACGAGTGTCTCGCGCGGGTGTGGTTTAGCAGGTGGCAGAGTCCACTTTAAATAGATATACCTTGGGTGGATGTTGACGGCACACAACTGTTTTGCTCCTCAATACAATGAGATTTTGCTCCTCCTCAATGAGTATAGAGGAGGACACTCATTTTTCTTCTATCGTTTTTCCTGGATCAATAGATTAAACTACATGATACCACTACCTATCCCAGTAACATATGAACAGTCTGACAAGAATCTGGATGTGAAACAATAACTACACAACAGAAATTTCAGAAAATGTAAAAATTGTATAAGTAAGTAAAAAAATGGTTGATTATGCTGTAAATGAATCCATACCTATTTTGGTTTGCGTACAACACTTGTAATAGAACATCCTATAGTGTATGAGGTCGTTAATGATAATTGACTTTGAAATTTCCTGCTCAACAACTTCCATTATAACTTGTCGTGTGAGCGAGCGAGATGACAAATTGATCATCATTTCAGTCAATGTACGCTGGGAGTAATAGTTTTTTTTTTTTCAAGGTAAACCAAAACTAATGAATGTGGTAATTTTTATTTAGGAATTATCATTTAAATCGTAAAAAACTGATAGATGAATAAAATTGAAAACTTTAAATAATTAATACCACAGATTATCACGTTTATTTTTAATTTCACATTACACTGTGTATCAGATTTTGCCTCTGCAGTCTCCTATTGGAGGATGGATGTATTGAGCAAAATTAAAAGGGTTTCCAGCATACTTTTCGGAATCCAGTGTATTTATAAAAGTGAAAATTTAAGTAAATTTAAAACTCATGTGTATAGAATATTGTTAAATATTGGCTTGCATAATGAATATGATGAAACTATAAACTAAAGTTGTAGATTAACCCTATATCTAATAAGATAATGTTACCCGTATAATCCTTGTGAAGTCAACAACAAAACCAACTGTTTTGTAAATCGGACAACTGTCAGCAAATTCAGGTGGATGTTGGGTATTTTAGTTGGCTACACCATGAGGGATATTCGCTACAAGTGGAACGAAGGACCCAACTCTGTCGGCGTCTCCAACGAGGTGTCTCTCCCACAGTTCAGAGTGCTGGGTCATCGGCAGAGGGCGATGGAGATCAGTCTGTCTACTGGTGAGTCAAATAAACTTGTACATCTGTTGTCTTAATAATGTCAGCACTGTATAATCCCTGTCACTGGACTTTGTACAACCATCTGAATAGTTATGATGTAATCATCAGCTGATTTACAAAAACATATTTCAGTTAAAATTAGTTAGATCAAAGGCAATGCAATTTAATGGGTTTCCTCATAGAGCTGACCCTGTTCAAACAACTTTATGTTCAACTCCATCACCTAAATAAAAGTCACAAAGGAATCACCACTAAATTGGAACTTGGGAAATAATTATTGTCTTTGATATCATCCGGTAAAAAATGGCTACTTTCTACACAGAGTAATGAAACAATTGTTATTTTCCACAGGGAACTACTCTCGTCTGGCGTGCGAGATTCAGTTTGTGCGCTCCATGGGCTACTATTTGATCCAGATCTACTTTCCGTCGAGCCTGATCGTCATCATCTCGTGGGTCAGTTTCTGGCTCAACCGCAACGCTACTCCGGCTAGGGTCAACCTCGGCGTCACCACTGTATTGACCATGACCACTCTGATGAGCTCCACCAACGCTGCGCTTCCCAAGATATCTTACGTCAAGTCCATCGATGTTTACCTTGGCACATGTTTCGTCATGGTGTTCGCTTCACTTCTAGGTAAGTTTTTTTTTTTTGCACAATACTAGAAGTAGTTTGTAATCGAGAAGACTGATTTAAATGGAGAGTTTTTTTAACCCCTCAAAATTGTTTAGAGACAGTAGAACCTCCACACCAAAGTGTTTTAGATACAGTATAACCTCCACACCAAAATAGTCAAATGAACTGGAAAATAAAAACTCCAAAATGTGTCATGGAAAAAGGAAAAGAGCAGTGACCAAATGAGGAATGGTAGCAGATGGGTCAAGATAAGGCCGTTGACAATGCAAACTACAATAGTTGAACATCTAACTACTGGGAATTTTATAGTCTTGAAGGATATATTAGCCACAAAATTTTAAAAATATTAGACCCCGATCTCATAAGTTAAAGTTAAATTGAGATATAACCATAAAAACATAAATTATTATATAAACAATCACGGCTAAAAATAGCTTTTTAACAGGGATGATTACTTTTAAAGAGGGACTTGCACCAGGGGAGAGGGGTTATTACGGGTTTAAAGGTGAAGGTTTAGCTACAAAACACAAATTCTGAATTTAAAGTTATAACTTGTTCAACGACTTCCTCTTTGCCCTGCAGAATATGCTACAGTGGGATACATGGCAAAACGAATACAGATGAGGAAAAGCCGAATCCTTGCAATGCAAAAGATCGCTGAACAGAAGAAGAAGGATGCTTTGGGAGAGGCTGGTCAACCGTCGGTCCCAGTGGAGGGAGATTCTGCGACTTTACCTAAACAAACTGTGAGTATCCTACAAATCAAACTGACCAATGTGAGGCTGAATAATATGGGAAATAATAAATTACCATTGTAAATATGTAAAAATTATAACATTTACTAAACTAGTTGCTCTGCCCATGCTTTGGCAATGGTTCAACCTCAAACCATTTTTGTGGGTTTCGATGAAAAAATCGCCATTGAAAATATAGATTTAAATAATGAAATAACATCGGTTTCCCAGCAATGGGATGGCCCAGGATGTGGTGGTGGAAATGGGGGGTTGGGGTTCCCCCAGCTTGCTGGCGATCCCCTTCCTCCTGGCTTTGATGGCGGGTTTTGACCTGTCAGGGATTGGATAGGTCCCGAGTGTTGCTTGCACTAAATGTGTCAGGGCATTTCATTATGGGCCTTCAGGTTTTTGTACCTGCTGGATTCCAGGTGGAGTGACGCTTAACCAAGTAGCCGGTATCCCTGGTTAGGATTGAGGGGCAACCCTCTTTCCGAAGGGTTGCTTCAGCAGCCGGTGAGCCTGATGATCTTAAGTCATCCGCCCATGGTGTGCCTAAGGTCGGTGCGTATCGATGGGGCCCGGGTATGTTTAATTATTAGGTACCGGGTTGCAGGTGAGGGGCTTCGGCTCTTTTGACTCAAACAAATGGAAAAAATGGAATGAGGTACGATGGATTAGTAACCACATACCAAAATTGAATTCTTAAAGAAAAACAAGGGAAACAAAAGACTGATTGAATAACAAAGACTGATTGAATAAAAAAAAAGCACTGTGAAATAACAAAATTAGAATAATTGCTGCAGACAAGCCATATTGGCTTTTGTGGCTTGGAATTGTATGTGTTGTAAATTTGTATTTTTTGGAAATAAAATAAATAAAAAAAAAAAAAATTCATCAAAATCCACGTAGTTGTAGCTCTGTATACAACCACACACACAGGTTTTACACATCACTAGAAAGCAAAAACTTTTGACGAACAAATACTTTTAAGTGATTGGCCTGTTTCAGGAGGTACGTTTTAAAGTTCATGACCCTAAAGCCCACTTCAAGGGCGGGACGTTGGAGAACACCGTTAACGGAGGCAAGGGCGACGAAGAAGCTATGACGGTTCCTTTCCCACGGCCCGGCCATGTCGACAAGACCGGTACTCTGTTCTTGGGTATTACGCCCAGTGATATAGACAAGTACTCTCGAGTCATCTTCCCCGTCTGTTTTGTTTGTTTCAACCTAATGTATTGGATCATCTATCTCCACATCAGTGACGTGGTCGCTGACGATCTCGTATTGTTAGGGGAGGACAAGTAGACTTTAGAGTCACAAGTTGGCGGAATTGTTTGTCAGTCAAGAAGTGAAATATTCCAACTTGCGGTCTATTTTGATTCAGTTTTGGGATATGTATGCAAGGCGCGAAATATCTTGGGTGGAAATCCTATTCAGTTTGTAGAATAACTGAGGTAGAGATATCAGATTTGGCTGACTCTCTTCGGATCTTGCTTTAGCAAGCTAAGAGCTCAAAATATTTTGCATCTAATATTGGTTGGTTGTTGCATTTGGATTTTTTTTTTCATTTCCACATCCAAGAGCAATAGGGTCTAGCTTGGCTACTTTACTTCAGGCTAGGCCTAAAGGGGCATGGCAGTATCACACAGATAAAATCTATTGGTGATTGGTAAGGTTTGAACCCGAAATGTCAAGAACTGATGCCCCGTGTAATACCACTTGACCAGCTCATTCCCATAATCAGAATAACGTGTGCCACTATTTGATATATGAAATCTTTTTTGTAAAGGTAATCTTCAAATATAAACCATTCACCAATCAGCGACGACCTGATGTTAAAGCTGTTGCTACAGCAATAATACTACTCTTAGAAAAATTAGCACATAAGCTATTTGCAAATCAAGTCAGAAGTCAGTAGGCTATTTGGGTACTGAATAGCAAAAATGTTGACTGCCATATAAACTGTAGTATGTCTGAATAGGAATTCCAAAGAACATATTTCATTTGTTTTTGCAACGCTTGAAATGTTAATCCAAATGCACAATCAGACCTCGTTTCTTCTTGACTTGACAAACACAATTCCACTAAGCTAAATCCTCGTCATGCCTTTCAGTCCATCCTGTACACATATACACATAGCTAGCAGAACATTGCACAAACATTTTCTTACTAGAGAACTTTAGGGAACATTTTGAAAAGTAGGTATTGAAAATAATTTACAATGCCTATCCACATAGATCTCGACCCGCAGTGTACATATTAACCACTCGTACACGAATGACACAATAAAACGAGCAATAAGTACTTTGTTTCGGCACAAAGAGAGTTATAATTTAGATTCTAATTTAACTAGTTGAGCTTCAGCTATGTAGACTGATCTCATCAACTCGAGTTTAAAAAGCTTTTTAGAGATACGGAATAGCGGCCACTGTAGATGTAACTTTCAGTCACTGTAAAGTTTTGCTCAACGAGATATTTCGTAGTTTGGTTCGAACCATAAGCTCGGCTGAGACCAAGTTTTTAATTTAGTCAAACTGAAAATAGCGGGATGTTTCTTTCAAACGGAACTTTACATCTTAAAGACTTTTAAAGGCTAATATTTTTAATTTAGAGGAATATATACCAGCTTACTTTTTAACTGTTGTTAGATCTATACAATGTTTTTGAAAACCAATGTCCACATGCTGTGGAAAAGGAGGGATTTTAGGTAGTATTTAGTGTTGAGTTTATTTGGCTTACAGATTATATAGGCCTACAAATTATTTAAATGAGTTTATTGTAGTGTTGAATCTTTCCATACAAATTTGATTAAGCTGCTTGGATGCTGAGTTTGGTTTTAAGAGTTTTAACAGAGGACTTCAAACCTTTACGATGTTCAAAATTAAATGAAAAATAAATTAACAAACACTTATCCTTTACATAAATTACCTTATCTGATTCATAAACATAAATACATCCATACTGATTTCAACACATTAAACATGCCTAACAAACAATTCTTAATAGAAAAAGTTCTAAAATATTTTAAGTCTTCCAGTTAAGCACATTTTAAATATTTTCCGGCTTTATAAATATTTAATTACACTCTTATTATTTTTATTAAAAGAGTTTGTTTGGATGTTTATTACTATGACATTCATAATGTTACGGAATAAAATTTGTTACTTGATTAAAATATATAGTAAACAATTGTTAGATTTAATAAGTTTTAACTTTGTTATTTGTTAAAGTTATACAACTATATCCTATCTTCCAGAAAATGTTACCAAGTGTTGCGTCTAGTTTTAATGTTTAAAACATAGTTTTATTTGTTAAATTTATCTGTAACTGTTACTTTGAAATGTCTTTCTTATATCTAAGGCGAATCAAGTAAGATCGCTAAATGTTTGTTTTAGTTAACGTATTCAGGGTTACTAAAATGTCCATCGTTAGTAAATTTTCAAAAATAAAATCCATAAAAGTTCTAAAAATGGTGTGAAGAGAATATCTTTTATCAAAGTGGATAACTAGTTTTTCATTTTAAATTATTATTGATTACGACCGTCTTAAATTTTAATTTCAACAAACACTTATGAGACATCTTTAAAATTTCACATTTTATGCCGTGCTGCTCCTGAGAAAGAATACAATGACTTAAAACGAAAAAGTATCTTCCATTGAAGAATAGCTGTAGCAGAATTTTTATTAACTATGAAAACTTCTGAGCAATTTAAAATTTTATAATAGATAATGTTTTACAATTTAACATTTTCACAAGCTATGCTTTGCTATAGTTGATATACGCTTGCAATAGCTTAAGTAACCCTGAAAGATGGTGCTAAGGAATGGGTATGAGATAAGCAAGTAGCCAATAACAAAGTTACTTTGGACTGTGATCTACTGATAAAATCAGCTTTGACTTTAAAAGGTAAACACAAGTCTAGCAAAGAGATACATTATTTGTTAAGGTTAGTAACTAAATCGATTAATGAATATCAAAATGTGTTAAAATTATTTTGCAAATAAGATTGATTTGGTAAAATAGGATATTTTAGTTTTACTGGTTTTACCAACTTCTAGTAGAGTAAACAATTCTTGATTGCCTAAGCAATGTTTAAATTGCACCGTAAACATATAACAGTATTTATAAAAATTTGATGTTTGCGTAATCAAATACTTCTGAAACTAACACAGCGTGTTAGTTTCTAAAACATTTGTTTTACACAATATTTAAAGCAATTAATTGCATGTAATGTACTTATATCAATTAACTTAGTAATTTATTTCTGTATGCAATATTTGCTCAAAACCATAATTATGTAAATATGTATAAAACTATTAATATTGAGAAATAGCAATAACAACCAAAAATATCCTATAGATTAACGATACCAGTTTAAAACTACAATATAGAGTTTACAGGATGTTAAAATTAAACTCAGAAGTTCTGGTTTTTTTAAAGTGTAGATTAATGTTTAATATATACAAACATAGGACATATTCAGCATGACGGTTTTCTACTACTGTACTGTACAGTTTAATACATCATTTTGAATTAGTTATCAAAAAGGATTAGAGAAAATAATAAAGATATAACAGAGTATTTCATAACTGAACATAACTAGTATCGTACTTTGTAATATTAGATGACATAAATTTTTCTTCATTTAAAATATTATTTATCAGAAGGTGAGAAACATTGTACATTGTTTTAATTTGAGTAAGTATAGAATGAAGCCATATAATGTCTATTAATTTGTGTATTTACTTCTGAAGATTCAGTCATTTTAAAGTTTGTACAGTTGCCTAATGAAGAGAGGAGGTTTATTGAAGTTAAAAGCTATAAAAACATTTTATCTGTGATTGGTTATGTTGTACTTGTTAAGGAAAGCGTACATGAAGGGTTAAAAGTAAATGCTCGATTGTAATTTCTTCCAATTTCTTAATGAAAATTCTATGGGTGTGAGACACTGATGTTGACTATTTGATTAGATCTAAAAGATTATTAAGTTATAGTAGTGGATGTAGTTAAATATTATGTTTATCGTTCTTTGAACCTGTTAGTAAAATTTAAAGAAAACATATATTTCCTTATAGTGAACTGAACACACATGCAAGATTTCTGTATAGTAGAAACACATGCATTTTTTAAGTAATTTCACAATATATTTCATTATACTGCAATTTGGATTTACATTTTTTGATTTATCATATAAAGAAGTTAGCTTACCTTAAAAATAAGCAATATTCTTGCAGCATGAACTGACACTAAAGTCTAGAAAAATGTATTAATGGTCACACCACTTTTAAGGCTTACTTCTTACGAATATTATAGAAACGTGAAATTCACAAGGAAACTCAATGTCGACAACACTAACTCGTGTTTTCAGATTAAATGATTCTATTGGCAGTGTATTAAGTAATAGTTTTCTACTTAAACGTAGACAGATTCTATAGACTGCTCATACTTTACTTTCGAAATAAGTAAGCAAATGATATTCTAAATATATAGAGAAATGTAAATTTACTGTGAATTAAATGATAAATATATGTTTGTATTAAAATGTATAAAAATGCACAGAGTGTGTTCATTACCTTGGGTAGATTAACATTGGTAAGCTATACGTTATTTTAATTGGTGAATCTAATTTTTAAGGGTCGGTACCCTGATTTCACCGCAACCAAATAAGACGCTGACGATTATGCCTCGACCACGGGAGATGTTGACAATTTCACTTAATTGAGGGAGATAACGCACAATATTTTATAAACAAATTGTAGCACAATAATTATTAACAGTGTTCAATTTGCGACGGAACGGCGTTTCAGCACCTCTCTTTCAGAGAGATTAAAATATTGGCATAAATAGATACTAACCACATTAAATAGGTTATAGCTACGGCATCTCATTTTTTACAAATCGAGCACTGATTATTAACATTTCATTTGTAAAACTTCACACGTTCCAAAGCAACCCTTTTTTATCCAATTCAGGAAAGTAAAAATATTTGGCCCAACCCGACCTAAAGAAAAAAGTCTGGCCCGCAGACCACTATTATTAGTGGATGTGGAAAAATGCTTTTCCGCACATAGGTGTCCTGCCTAAAGAGTGAATCCTGCTAACCAGACAACTCACTATAAAACCTCCTTTACCCTCATACACCTGAAATTGTAATTTCTTTTTCCAACACAAATTACCAAATAAAAACAAGTTTTACGTTTCAGGATCTGAAATCTGTTCCGTCCTCAAATTACTTTCTCAACCAAAACGTGACAAGTTTAGTACACAAAAACCTAAACTAACTGGAAAAACAGACAAAAACTAAATAGTAGTAAAAAAAACAGGAAACAATAAATCCTTAACACATTCGCTGCGGCTCATCAGTGGCAGGCAGCGCAGCGTCGAAAGAATCTGATTGCCAGGCGATGGGCTTTCATATATTTCGTTAGCAAATATAACATCCGGTGATGTGCTGCGTTACAACAAGAGTCAACATAGTTCCCTAAAACACCCACAGATAGCAGCACTGCTTGGAACGTATCCGGTCCCATTCTATTGCCAATGGGAGGAAGAAAAACGGGACAAGTTGATTTCTAAGCTTGCCAGACGGTGATTTTATTGGGAAATTTACTACCAACCTACACCACAACAATATCACTACAAATATCAGTCAAGAAACACACATTACAACAAAAAAAGTCAAAATATGACAAAAAACGCAATCGCAAACTTACAAAAATGCAAGCACAAACTTATTGTTGAATTTGTTGAACATGCCACTATGAGGCTGGATAGCTCGGAACCAATAAATGCCCATGACGCTCCACTTGTCCCGGATCCGAACCACCAGCAGCAAACGTGTTGAAGAAAACCATAATTAGTACAAATGGAGGTTAGAAGCGCACTATGAGTAAGTAACCTTTGGTCAGTTATCATCATACCAATATTATAAATGTGAAAGTTTGGGTGTTTGTTTGAAGTTCAATCACACATTAACTACTGGTCGGATTGGGTTGAAATTTGGTATGATGATAGCTCACATTCCCAGCTGATTTGAGCTACAAAAAGCAAATGAGAACTTTATTTTTTTCTTCATATTGATGTTATTTGGTCCAGGATCACTTCTTGAATATTAAAATGGTATAATATTACCTGTTTCCGTCTGTGATCCTATATTTGTTGTATAGAGCAACCTGTTTCAAGGTTATAACCTCATCTTCAGGCTCTTGTTGTCACTCTTGCGAGATCGTCGAGTTTTATAAACACACAAAAACACTAACATTGAAATAAATAAACACGAGACATTGACAGACGAAGACGATTAACATAAATTCGGGAACTAGTTCCACACACGACGCAGCACGGGCAAACGTTTTGTCATGACTCAAGATCAACTCAACATCTCGCAAGAGTGACAACAAGAGCCTGAAGATGAGGTTATAACCTTGAAACCGGTTGCTCTATACAACAAATATAGGATCACAGACGGAAACAGGTAATATTATACCATTTTAATATTTTTTTCTATTGTTTAGGCGCAATGGTAGAACATTATAGCTATGGTAGATGTGCTATACTATAGTATACCGTAAATTAAAAGAACCAAATTTTCTTAAACCGTGTCCTCCCCTATTACAAATGCAAAGCACAAGTATAACTCACTGCAATAAGAATTTTATACTTATACGCCAACCCCATACAAAGGACCGTTACTCTGCTACTAGAAAATACAACTATGTAGACAAAAACCAATTTGTTATATCTCAAAGCTATATTTTTACTTTATTCGTCGACATAATGAAATACATTTGAGCACTTATGGTATTTTATCAGTAGTATATTTCAGTTCATCATCCCAGAACCACTGGAACCTCAACCTTGTCTTCACATGCAACAACGCCATCAAGTATTCACTGAGAGCTGAATCCAGTCTGTGAGTCTGTTAGCAGACGTTAGAATTGTTCCTATTAAACTTTCCCATAAGTCTATAATCTGAATGTAAAGTTTTCATAAGGATGTCTTTCATTAGGTTGGGCGTTTTAGTTCAAAATCGTGACACCAGACATTTTTTTTTGCATGGCTAAGATAGTAAAGATCCTAATCTCATATTAATCCATCACATTTGTTCCACATTGTATACTCTTTATGATTAGCTGCAACCGAATACATTTGGACGTTAAAAATCTTAACAACTTGCACCTCCTACTTGCAGCATTTACTCTTGTGCACAATATTTTGAGTCTATAAAATCATAACGAGGAAAGCAGAACCCTTCAACAACCACAGTTGGACACCCACTGACTTAATATACACGTCTGTATAGTGTATGAGAATGGCCGCACTACCACTACCACTACAACATCACCAAACTACCTTGGTATAATGATTATTATTCAGGAACTAAACAAAAAGCAAATGGCTTTTAATGGTTGGTTAATCTTTTTATTACCAAACATGAAACATAGTCTTTGTTAACTATTAAAACATAAAAAAGGTACTTACTGATTAGCTTTAGGTTTCTTGAACAACATGGCAGTCTATGCATTCATTGAAGTTTTAGGTAAAATAATTGACTTAATATACATTCTGAATCAGATCAATATTTGAAAATCATAAAACTTTTAAGTTGACTTCTCTTACTGTTACACAATTGATTCAAGATATTAAAACTGTATAAGTAAATGCGAGATTCACTCAGTAAACATACATGCGAGGTCTCAGTGGACCTAGTCTTGTACTTAACATAAATTTCACATTAGGCCTCTCCTGCAAGCCCAAAGTCAGGTATTGTTAAAACTTATTTAGCAATGTGGAACACACTTTTATTACTTATCACAGGGAATAATCTATAACGAAAGGCACGAGTATTTATATACACTTTGTACAGGAAAGACGAGTAAAAGAATTACGATCTTTTTTCATTCAGCGTAGTTCTTGACACGGTTGACATCCCGTCCACAAACTGAGTACGAAACAAGACGTTGGCGTTGTTGAACATACCGTCCTTCAACGATACGATGATAAACTGAAACAGAACATTGGTAAAGTTGAAAAAAATTTGTTTTCTCGTTTGCAGATATTTTAACAGGTATTTTCAAGATAAAGATATTGATTGATATTATTATTTAAAATATTAACTCTACCTTCAATGCATAATCTCCTAATTTGATATTTATAAAAAGTCAATGACAGTTTTGATCATAGCTACTTAAACAGAAACAGCAATAATTTAATTTTCAACTGCCCATCCACAGATGGACACTTTTTAATAGATAGATTTTATTAGATGGACACCTTGCCCTAATACAGAAGAAAACAACTTTTTAATAAATTGCCACTGTATGACCTACGGTATTTGAAGTTCTTTGTAAACCTGGTTTTATCGATTTTAAATTGGTTTTTTTTTATTGGATTTGGTTATTTCATCTGTTTACTCAGCTATGCTGTTTTCAATTGCGAATGTTTATGTAAAAATAAATTATTGTCTTGACTTTCACATTACTTTGAATTTATTTCACCCCTAATTACATATTGCAAACTTCAATAAGAAACCAAGTCATCTATATAAATGAAATCTCAATATAAAATCTTATTTAATAATCCTCATGATCTTGTTATCAAGGTTCCACTGGAGTCATTGAATATTTAAATAAATGGTGTATGAATTTTAGATGAAACAATGGATTTGATTTATTCTATGATTGGTGCAATTCCATGGCTATTTGTTAACCCAAATGTTTCAATTGCATGATACTCAGTGAAATCATTTTTATAATACCTGTAAGAAGGCCAATTGTTCGCAAAAAACAGAAACATTAAATTCCTTGTAGGAATAGTCTGATTCTTAATTTGAAACAAAATTGCAATGTTTCACGGTAGGTGTTACCTGTGAATGTTTAAAATGCGCCTTGAGCATCTGGCCGATGTTCTGTGTGTGAGAAAGGTCCAGGGCTGCGTCCACCTCGTCCAGAATGTATATCGGAGCAGGTTTAAACAACAACATGGCCAGGATAAGAGACAACGCTACTAGTGACCTCTGACCTCCACTCAGCTCTCCCAGACTCTCCTTCCAGATACCGTTGAACCCTACCTTCACCTGTGACAGCAATGAGAGATGGTTAGTAACAACATGGCCAGGATGAGAGACAACGCTACTAGTGACCTCTGACCTCCACTCAGCTCTACCAGACTCTCCTTCCAGATACCGTTGAACCCTACCTTCACCTGTGACAGCAATGAGAGATGGTTAGTAACAACATGGCCAGGATGAGAGACAACGCTACTAGTGACCTCTGACCTCCACTCAGCTCTCCCAGACTCTCCTTCCAGATACCGTTGAACCCTACCTTCACCTGTGACAGCAATGAGAGATGGTTAGTAACAACATGGCCAGAATGAGATGAGTCTAGATGGTAGTGGATTTAAAAAAAATTGAAATGATTAATTGTTTATTTTTAAGGCAAAGTTAGGGCTACATGGTCTTTTCTTAATTGACCTGAATGAGTCCTAACCTGAGACTTTATCATTCGGACAAAATCCATTGGTGATTAGTGCAATTCGAACCCAGGTCCTCAGGGCCCTAAGTCCCTTGCCCTAATGTTACGGTCCTCACCGAGTGATAGATATTTGATAAATAACTTATTTTTGCTCTTCTGGTAAACAAATGACGTAGATAAATGCCAGACTACTTTCCTGAGTGTCTAGGTTCAATTCCCACTAATCACCATTGATTCAGCTAACCAGTGGCTTAGAGCACACCTTGGCCTGTAAAACTGTAGCCTACATCCACCCAGATATTTAAATGAAATATAAGTTCCCTACGCAAGAACTCTCTCTGAATTAGAGATAATTTTAAGTCTGAAATCTTGCTGGCAATTTGAGTGCAGTTCAATTTTATTAATTTAAGTTGCGACATGAACGTATACCAAACTTCTTCAAATTTAAATTCAATACGATAGAACAATAAGTAATGTTTAATTGTTTACACTTGATTAGTGGACTGAAGACGTCCAATAACTTCAATCCAAAACAGCACTATGTAGTGGGAATATAAGATTTATTTTTATATAAGCCCATACCTCCAATCCTTCCAATATATCTCTCCCACTGGGGGGTTTCAGAGCAGCTTGAGCCCCGGGCAGCAAAGATCCAAAGATAGACCCGAAATCCTTGTTCACTTGTTTCCACGCCAACCTCAACGCTTCCTTCTTCTTCTCGTCCAACTCTTTGATCAGATCAACAATTTTCTGCTTGTCTTTCTCTACAATTCCTTTCTTCCGCATCACCTCATTGTACTACAAAAGCAATGCAAAATTTGATTTAAAAAGTCAAATATAGGCTATATTAGTATTCTAACATTGATGGGTTTTTGTATAGTTTTTTTTCAGTAAATTTATATAGAAGTACCTAATAATTTTTTTTATAAGTAAGAAAAAATTTTTTCGGTTAACATTTGCGAGCTAATTAAGGAAGTTAACTAAAAACTAGTCAAGTCATTGAATATGTAACTATCTTCAATACCTAAGGATAAAATTATCTAATAAACCTCATTTAGGCTAACTTAAGACAAAACATTTATGACACCCTTCCAATGACTTAATCTAACCAAAGTTAACTCAATTTAACATCCTCAGTAACAATTTGTTATTAAACCATCATTTAGCTAGGTAACAAAAGAGAACTACTAATTAGTTTATCAACATTAATCCAAACTACGAGTATTATAAAACAAGCTAAACTGTCCTTTCAATAAAAAATCTACCAAACAAATAAAATTGAGAGCCGTTTACTTTTTGATAGTCATTAAATTTGATTTTGTCAGTTACAGCTGAAATCATTTTTACAAAGTGATAGACTCCTCTCAGTTCTCGTCATGTTGCGAAACATGGGTACAGATTTATCAACAATTTTCACTTAACTCTAGGACCTTGAAGATGGATTTGCAATTTAAATCCCCTCTCACCTGCTCCTCCTCTTTGCCCAGCAGGTTGACAGCCCGAGCATTCACAGTCCTACTGAGTTTCTCCTTTGTCTCCTTGAGTCTAGCCAATCGCTTCTGAGCTTCGTGAGGGTCACTGGCCTTAAAGTCGTACATTCCGTCCGGCTGACCAAAGAACTGTCTGTCCGTCTCAATCCATTCGTAGGCTTTCAAGAAGTCGTTCAGCTAAAAGTACATTTCATATTAATGTACCCTTGTTGACACCAAAGAATAATGGTCAAAGTAAGACTAAGCATTCAAACAATCACTGTGGGATGAAAAAAACTGAGGTTCAAATTCAACTAGCTTACCTTATCCTTAGTGCTGCCTGAGTCTGACTTGAGTTTAGTAATCTTGTGCTGCAACTCAATCACTTGCAACTGCATTTCGCTCACTTCCTTTTCTAACGATGCTTTGTGCTTCTGTGTCGCTTGAATCTCGCTGTTCTGTTTTGACAAAACATCCTTCTGGTCCTTTACTTGCTTCTGGAGCTCCTTAACCTCTGTCTGTTGAAATAAAAATATTTAGTCGTTTTAGGGAGAATCATACAAAATAGACTATGGTCTTAATGGTTAAGTAATAATTGAAACAATAATCACAAAATGGGCATAAAATTGAATTGTTACTCACCTTGGCTTGATTCGCTTGCTCTGTAAGTTCTTCAAGTTCTTTCTTCAGTTGTTCGATGGTAGCCACACATTTTTCAATTTCTTGCTGTCCATTCTCAATGCTCTTCTTCAATTCTTCTATTTCTAATTTTGAGGTTTCAAACTCCTGAAAATTTATGTTTAATTATGCTCAATTTCAAAAGTAGGAACCGAATAACCTCAAAAGTAATTTTGAATAAATAGCAAAAACCTTAACCATAATTACCTGTTCTCTTTCCTTCCACTGATTTCTGCTTTCCTCAGCCTTCTTCTGTAATCGTTTCATTTCTTGTTCTGCAGCTTTCAATTCTTTTTCTCTTAGGTTTTTTGCATCTTTTACTTTAGCTTCCAGCTCCTTAACTTTCTTTGCAAACTCCTTTTCTTTTTCCTTACACTCACTAACTCTCTTGGATAATTCATCTAAAATAAACAAAATAAATTAGATAATAGTTAACAGAATAAACAGAAACCCTCAAAGAGAACAATATTAAAAACATATTTATAAGCTGACCAGTTAATTAACGATGGGATTTTACAAGTTACTCACCTAGGGAGGCCTGTAGCTGGTTGACCTCAGTTCTCAGCTGGTGATGAGCTGTCTGTTGTATCCTGGTCCTCACCATCTCCACCTCCGCCTGTCTGATCTCCAGCCTCTGCTTCAGCGAGTTGTACCTGTGGAATGCCAACTTAACATGATACAAGTGCATAATTATACTGAAACTGCTGTAGCTGGTTGACCTCAGTTCTCAGCTGGTGATGAGCTGTCTGTTGTATCCTGGTCCTCACCATCTCCACCTCCGCCTGTCTGATCTCCAGCCTCTGCTTCAGCGAGTTGTACCTGTGGAATGCCAACTTAACATAATACAAGTGCATAATTATACTGAAACTGCTGTAGCTGGTTGACCTCAGTTCTCAGCTGGTGATGAGCTGTCTGTTGTATCCTGGTCCTCACCATCTCCACCTCCGCCTGTCTGATCTCCAGCCTCTGCTTCAGCGAGTTGTACCTGTGGAATGCCAACTTAACATGATACAAGTGCATAATTATACTGAAACTGCTGTAGCTGGTTGACCTCAGTTCTCAGCTGGTGATGAGCTGTCTGTTGTATCCTCGTCCTCACCATCTCCACCTCCGCCTGTCTGATCTCCAGCCTCTGCTTCAGCGAGTTGTATCTGTAGAATGCAAACTTAACATGATACAAGTGCATAATTATACTGAAACTGCTGTAGCTGGTTGACCTCAGTTCTCAGCTGGTGATGAGCTGTCTGTTGTATCCTGGTCCTCACCATCTCCACCTCCGCCTGTCTGATCTCCAGCCTCTGCTTCAGCGAGTTGTATCTGTGGAATGCCAACTTAACATGAGACAAGTGCATAATTATACTGAAACTGCTGTAGCTGGTTGACCTCAGTTCTCAGCTGGTGATGAGCTGTCTGTTGTATCCTGGTCCTCACCATCTCCACCTCCGCCTGTCTGATCTCCAGCCTCTGCTTCAGCGAGTTGTATCTGTGGAATGCCAACTTAACATGATACAAGTGCATAATTATACTGAAACTGCTGTAGCTGGTTGACCTCAGTTCTCAGCTGGTGATGAGCTGTCTGTTGTATCCTGGTCCTCACCATCTCCACCTCCGCCTGTCTGATCTCCAGCCTCTGCTTCAGCGAGTTGTACCTGTGGAATGCCAACTTAACATGAGACAAGTGCATAATTATACTGAAACTGCTGTAGCTGGTTGACCTCAGTTCTCAGCTGGTGATGAGCTGTCTGTTGTATCCTGGTCCTCACCATCTCCACCTCCGCCTGTCTGATCTCCAGCCTCTGCTTCAGCGAGTTGTATCTGTGGAATGCCAACTTAACATGAGACAAGTGCATAATTATACTGAAACTGTTTCTGATCCCGCTAGGACCACAATTGTTTAGAATAACGTGGAGTTCAAACTAGAAAATTAATTAATTGTATAGTAAAAATATGGCCATCTTCAGGTAGATCTTACTCTCTACTATCCTATTTAGGAACATGATTGTTAACCTCCAATTAATCCCAACCTCTGCCGAGCGCTACTAACTTCTGACGAACGTACCCGACTCCAGAGAATTGTGAACAGCATCTGGCGATCACACTTGAGATCTGATGATCGCACCCGAAATCTGACGGTCGTACAGGACATCTATGGTCACACTTGATGTCTCACGGTTGGACCTGACATTTGACGCCCGCACCTGACATATTGCAGTCCTACCAAACGTCAACCAATCAATCATCTCCGACACCTGACATCAGCCAATTGCTCCCGGAAAAGGGAATTTCAAGAAAATCTTAGTTGGTGGTAATAGCAGTAGATAGAGGAAGACTCAGGATATGTAAAAGAAGGTAGATTGATGAGGTGAAGAAAGAGTCAAAATAGTTTAACAAGTTTAGGCTATACTTTTACTCAAATTTTCAAGTTACAAAATAATCTCCTTACTTGTCAGCGTCCTTGGAAATGATCCGGATCTGCTGGTCAATGTTTGCATATTCTGCCTCAAGCTGGGACAAAGTCTTCTGGCTCTCTGTGAATTCTACGATCTGCATCAACACTGATCCTCCACTCTTAGGTGCACCTGGACAGTAGTAAAATGTTAGTGTACGGACCCTTAAAAACTCTCAGCCATACTTATTTATTAGTTGTATAGTGTTCTCTCTGTCCTTTAATAACGTGAATGAGAAATAAAATCATTTTCTAAATAATCCATCTATAATATACAGTAGGCCTAATGAAACGTAGAGAAATGAAGACTTTTTTGACTAATAATGAAACATACTGGCGGTGATCATTACTTTACATTAGCCAGAATGAAAACCATAAAAAATCATAGGTTTTCTTAGATAAACAAGACTTCACACGTCATAACTATTCCCCGTTTTCAACTCCAATAATTTATCGAACATTATCATTATGTTGTGTACATGGCCAAGGGTTATCTCAAACTTTGGTATGAGAGTGATGGTTTCACAAAATATTCAAGAGTTTGGGACGGTTTTACCACTTTTAGTGACTTTTGTGATTAGTAGCCCTTTACCTCCAGACAAGGTGCCGCCAGGGTCCGTGACATCTCCGTCCAACGTGATGCATTTCTTCCGTATACTGTTGTGGTACGTGACCTTGCTGGCAGTGGACATCTGGTCGCACACAAACACTTGACCAAAGATCCACTCCATCACAGGCTGGTACAATCTGTCATACGAGATGAGACTCAGCGCAGGCCAGCACTTGTCTGGGCCAACCTACAAGCCAAACAGAAACATGTTATTCAGTAAAAGTAAGGGATTCCAAAAGAAGCAAAAGAAAAGAAAATAGTGAACTTAACGAGCACTGAGGGTGTTTAAGGATTTTATAAAACTGAGATTGTTAAAAGATACTTGCTATCTGCATTTTAATACAGTACTTCTTGCCTTGTGTGGACTAAGTTGCTCTTCTAATTCACCAAAATAGTGTGTAATCCTTTATCATGCAAGGTTAAGGTATTTAATCACTTTTAAATCTCACTCACCTAAATTAAACATAACTACAGCTTTAGATCAAAACAAACTCATGTTAGCAGAAATAACCTTAAAAGTAAGTTAGTTAAGGTTTGCTAAGTTAGTCCTCCCCTTAGCTAATCTTAGAGCACATTTTACCTTCTGTCCTATATTATTATTTTAAAGAAAACTTTGACATCCTTACTTTGAACAGTTTAGGTTTGTACTTTGTTTGAATTAAGCGAGTTCTTAGAAGGGAAAATCAGAAGGGAGTAAATCAGTAATACAATGGTAGAAGTTATTTTACTTCCGTTGATAAACTCTCCTTGGAGAGGCAAAGTTTCAAGTGGAATGTGTGGTTAACTACAGCACTTAAAAAAAAAAAGGATTAGCTGCACTTAAAAAAAAAACATGATTTAAATGCCACACATGCTTGTCAGCCTTGCTCTTACTTACCAAGCTCTGAGCTGTCTGTATGGTCCGTTGGTCAATGGAGCTGCCTTGTATCTTGTTTATGGGGATGAAGGTCACTCTCTTTTGCAGCTGTCCCTTCTTGATGATTTTGTTGCTCGTCATCTCATTGTCGACCACCACGTTGTACAACTGTTGAGAGTAAAAAGAAATTTAGAAAACCCGAGAATACAACCCTGAAAAGATAAGGGAGGATGGGAAATGGGAATAAATTCAAGCATTTACAACAGAATGGTAACAAAATTAACTTACCCTTCCTCCTGCAGCAGACTCCAAAGCCATGGCAAACTTTGGATCCTTGACTTTAAACAGCTGACAAACCAGACCTTTGACTGCCGACCTGTCAAAGTTGGGCTCCGGGTCCCTGTAGTTGAATCTGAGAGCAGAGTTCCTGCAAAAGATTAAACAAAGGTTGTCATAACTGAGTGTAAGAGCATATCAAGAAACTGAAGTTACCTCACAAGCACATGCACTTGAGGGATGAGGTTTGATCAAACTATGATCTGTACGTGAGTGAATGCTAATATGGATTTGTTTCAATAATGTGTTATACGTTTTCAATTACTGAACAGTAGGTGAGTTAGGGAGTTTGATTCTGTGAAGAGGTACCTGAGAACATTCCATTGAATTAATTCAAGAAATTCATAATACATTGGCCAAGTTTCAGCAATGAATATGAGATATGTCTATACAAATACATTAGAGTCCAGGGGCTTACAGATACATGTAAGAATTGATGAAACACTGATATTTTGTCCAAGTGCAGAATTTCTTTAATGGTTAACTGCATTCTACTCTATCCCTTTCCCAGAAAACTCAAGTTAAATAAATCTACAAATAAAATTTGATGGTTTGGAATATTAGCTAGGCAACAGGAACTGTCTGCAGCCAAGCAGACAACAACAAACCTCTTACGGTGATAAAGATATAGTTCAGAAAATAATTGTCAATTATTTTTAAAGAAAAGATTTTGTGTTTGCATTTGTAGATCACGATGGCGGGACCAAGTCCGAAAAGACGTGAGAAGAATAAATGTTACGGAAGAATTGATGGAAGACCGAGGAAGATGGCAAAAAGTTGTTGGCGAGGCCAAAAGTTGAGTAACCAACTAGGTAAGGTAAGGTAAGGTAAGGAAAGTTGTAGATTTTAAAATTAGAGTAAAATAACCTAAAAACCTAACATTGTACAACAACCCTTGATTAACCGGACAAATTGATTATCCGACACAGCAATGCCCCTTTATTATTGTAAATTGTGGTTTTATGTAGTTGCATGATTGGATGGTATGTTTTAAAAGCAAACTAGTATGACAATAGATCTACAAGTATAAAAGGATATTGGAGACCAGCGATTTAAACACAGGTGGATTTCAAACTTACCTAGCTTGGAACTGTTCAACTTTATCTCTCATCTTTCTTATGTCTGTGTTAAGCTGACGTTTTCTGTCTTCCAATTCTTCTATTTTTCCTTCCTCATAATTTACTTTGCCCAAATCCCGCTGCAAAACAAGATAAAGTAAATGAACAATACAGTCAAAATTCCTCTTACCATCCCAACTAACTGCAATAACATAGAATAACAATAATCTTTCACCAGTCCCTTGTATAGTAAGCAGTGCATTATAAGTTTCCTAAGAATGACATTTCAAAATGTCTCAGATTAGAGAATACAGAAGAACGTTGATAATCTGGTACAATCGGGCGGCCAATGAGCCGCATTTAGGAAGAGGCAAGACCATTGAGAAACCATTTAAATAGTGCATAGAATAACAATAATCTTTCACCAGTCCCTTGTATAGTAAGCAGTGCATTATAAGTTTCCTAAGAATGACATTTCAAAATTTCTCAGATTAGAGAATACAGAAGAACGTTGATAATCTGGTACAAACGGGCGGCCAATGAGCCGCATTTAGGAAGAGGCAAGACCATTGAGAAACCATTTAAATAGTGAATTTTTGTTATTATTGGATTTGAGACAGCCAAAGTTTTACAATCAATAAATAATTGCAGTCTAGGAGTAATTACGTAAGATTTTTGTTTCCTGATTTGTTTCCACTGGTAGTGCAGTTCAATACTGATTCTTAATAATGAATGTAAATTTCAATAAGTTCAGTACAATATAAAATTGTTCCATATTGTACAAAACGACAATATGAAATTACACTAGGCTATGATTTTTTTGGGATAAGATCAAACGGGATTAAACTGGAATGTCTCGGGGGGATTATTGAAGGCTGAACTATCACTAACACAAAAACTGCTTGAGTAGCTTCTGTGATGATTTAAACAATTAACACATACTGGTACATTCAACAGACAACCTGTTTACCAGCAAGAACAGACTTAGTGACCTACCCTGAGGGACTCCAGTTCCTTGTCCATAGATTGCAGCTGTTTCTCATCCCTGGCATAGTCTGTCTCTCCTTGCTTCAAGTCCTTCTGCTTGGTTTTCAGCTCATTTCTGTTGTGTTCCAGTTGCATGTTACATTGCATCGACTCTGTCTGCAGCCGGCTAACCTCCTGTTTTGCATCTGAAAATCACAGTTTTATAAGTTGTTATCACACGTTTACTTACTGCACGATTGACCAACATTCAACTTGAAACCTACCCTGCACAAATGCAAAATAAGTATTATTGTTTAGTAGATTTGTAAAATAGCTTAGGTCTAAATTAAAAGTCACTTCAAATTTTTCAAAGCAAACATCTCTTGTACTTTTGCTTACTCCTTGGATGTTCCTAACCAAAAATTTGTTTACTAACACCCCTAACTCAATATTAGTTTTTCTGACCATCTTAGCCATTAATTTCTATAATTGGTACTTTATTTTGTCAAAACTCTCCCACCAAAGGCCAAAACTTTGTTTTACTGGCAATCCAAATAAAATGTGTTCTGCTGACCTATAGGTGTTGTCAAGATCAAAATCGCTTCCTTTGACCAATCAAGAATCTATTTAATCAAAACAAGTATAAACATCTTGTACGGTTGACGTCAAAAAGTGGCAAAAAATCCTTAGGCCTGAGACTAATGTCGCCAACTATCACTCTGGCTGCATTATCTACTGTAGTGACTCACTCATCAGCTGGTCCTGCAGTGTAGCGTCTTGTCCGTCGTCTGATGACAGCAGACCAGAGCTGACAGCCTGGTACTTGCGCTGAGCTGCTTCCAGAGCTTTGCTGTCCTCCTCGTCTGCTTGTCTCAGTCGTAGGAACACATCCTCTGCTTTACTCAACACCTTCTCTTTCTCCTTCAGCGCTGCCTCGTCCTGCCAAAGATAATTGACTAAGTTTGATTGGAGTTGGTTTGTTTTTATGGGCAATGGATATAGTGGGAAATTAAAACGTACCCTGATTTGAATGGTGATCAACTCATTTGTAGGTACCAAAGGTCTGCAGGCAAGAGTTTATTGCTTCAAGTTAGATCATAATCAGCTTTCTTTGGAAAGTATTGGACTTTTAAATTTTGATTTGTAATACTACTGTTACATGACATTGTATATTATCCTCTCCCATATCCTTGAAATCAAACCTTCTTCCTTAGTCAAAGCAAAACCGTCAACGTCATCAATTTTACCCACGATCGCGCCAAAACTGCATGATCAAAACAAGCGATAGCGGCAAAATTGTCATCTTGAATATTTGCAGACATTTTTTGCCATCACTAAAAAACCTTGGCTCGGCTTAACCCAACCGGAGTTTGGCCAAACCCGACACAAAAATAGCAGAGACCCGCAGACCCATATTGGTAGCCTAACCAACAATCACGTCCACTAATCCAAACACCTCATTGTTGTACTTTATACACAGTACAGCAGTTCTTTGTTGTATACTGTATTTAATGTACAGTACTGTTTATTCACTACGTTTACTATGGTTTTAAATAAACACTGTATTCTACTGTATAAAGCATTTTTTCACTTTTCCCGTACCAATTATGATCAATTTTAGCCAGGTTTTAGCTATTGTTATGTAAAAACAACAATATGTTCTGTAATCCGAACTATTCAATAGTCCGAACTACCCCCGGTCCCAATTATTTCGGATTAAAGAGGTCCTACTGTAAGTCCAACTGAGTGACCTGACATTTCAAAAATTTGATATGGTACTAATTATACTAGAAGTCTATAGAGAAGACAAAACACTTTTTTCCTACATTATTTCTGTGAAAAAAGACCAAGAAAGAGAACTTTGAAAGAAGAAAGAGTGACTTTTTTAAAAACTGGAGTAATCTCTTATCCTAATCAATTTTTGCTTTTAAGTTGCATATCTTTTTGTCTATTGAGATATTATTCTATGTTCACATGCTCCAAAACCTGACTAACTAATTATGCTACTCACATCCTTTAGACTCTTCTCCAGTTGCTTCTTTTTCTTTTCCTCCGAGGCAACGTTTTCCTTGCCACTCTTCATTTTAGCCACGGCCTTGGCTTCTTCTTTTTCACGTTCTGAAAGTTCTTTTTCCAAATCGGCCAATTTGCCACCAGTTTCCTAATTGACATAAAGACATGAAATGCTTAACGATGAAGGTTTGGAACACTAAGCATGATTTAAAAAAAAAACTTGTAAAAGAGAACCATGGAGAGTGTTTTGGTTTCTAAAACAAGAATGATAGATTTAATTATTTAGAATATACTGATCTACTCACAGCATCTCTGATTTGCCTGAGCTCTTCAATCTTGCCATCAATATCAGACATCTCTTTGTTTGAATCTTCAATCTTCTTTTTGGTGCCATCCAAAGTCTGCACTGTCTCTTCCAACTCTAGTTCCTGGTTATTGCAAGCCTCCTGAATAAACACAAACAATAAATGTATTAAAATCACACTTGCATTCTTTATTGATGCAAAATAAGAAAATCAATAGTAGATTATTCAATACTGTAGATAGAATGTTGAGATAATTAATCAATAATAAAACTTGAAGTGTGGACCATTTATTTACCCATGTTAACACATTCTTTAAGTATATAAATTTAATCTATCTATGGCCTGTCTCAAAATTCAGACATGTTTCAAATTAGGGGACTGATTAAATTATGATACTTTGTCTTACACTGATAAAACAGTTAACATTTAACAACTACAATAATTTAGCTTCCAAAATTGCAAGTGGAGTTCACGTATGCCCATCAAATCGCGTTATAAAATGCTTGCTAAAAAATATCCACAATATTAATATTTTATAAAATTAAACTCTGAGCGTCTGACGTACCTCCAGTCTCATGAAGTTCCAGGCTATTGATATCTTAGTGAGATGTTCCAACTCTCTTTGTACCTTCTGCAGTTCCAAGTACTGTCCTCTCTCCTCCTTGAGTCTGGCTAGCTTCGGACCAATCTCCTCGTTGATCAACTATAAACAAAAGTTTTGCTTGGAAATGAGACAATTAGTTATAAATATTAACAAAATATTAACCATTGTCAAATAGGCCTAAGATATTTGTTCTTTCATTGATAAAAAGCAACATTTTTGGCAAATCAGTCCAGTTAAATGTTGGGTGGTCAATCACTTCAATATAAAGGATAGTGACATCTATTTTAAGAGTTTTTCCACACAAGTGGGATTTATTTGGGGTACCAAGATATTTAATAACTATTCAATAAGAATTTTAACGTCATTGTTTTTTAACAGTAGGCTATTTGAACACTTGATTTTTTCTTTTTATTTCCTGGGAGATTTGTACAGTTATTAAACACTAATATCTTCTCAGACAAGGAATTATGACAGGAATTATTAATTCCTTATTTTAATATTTTGCCTTGAAGTTAATTCCGAAAACAGAGAAGCAAGTTATTATACAAGACTTCAATGACTTACATCGTTTAACTCCTTCAGCTTGGCATCTTTCTTCTCAATGGTTTTTTCAGCTTGTTGCTTTTTCGTCTCGTACATTCGAGTTCCTGCAGCTTCTTCAATCATTGATAATATCTGAAGGGAAAAACATTTAAAGCACTGTAACTGTAAAACAACTTTGAGCACTGTAAGTTGAGGTAGCAACGGACCTTTTTAAATTCTTCCAGTAGTTGTTTATTTAGTGAGTGGCCCGTGTAGACATAGGAAAATGCAAGAGTGAAATCATGGACCATTGACCTGAATGTGTTTTAATAGCAAAAAACAGTATACAGTAACCAAATGGTAAGTAAATAAAATATTTCTTACAAAAGAAGGCCTAGGGATGAGGACAATTTAATTTTAAATGAGTTCATGACAATTGCGTAAAGATAGTGTTAACAACACAAGTAAAAAATTTAACGTACAAGCTTTGGCCTTAAAAACTTCTAAGAGTGTCGTTGACACTATTTGAGTTGCGTACACCACTTTACCTACTTAAGTGTTTTAATTACTAAAATCACTACTCATGACTTCTAGGAGAGTCTATGTTTTCATTTATAACCTCTCATTGCCACTGACAGTGATGCAACAGTACCAAACACTAATTGCACCACTCAACAATTAAATTGGCCTGAACAGCTGATTAGTTGAAGTTCGAATCATTACAATTTTACTTCTTCTCTCTCAATCCTTGGACCTCATTGGTCTGTTACCCGTGTTGTTATGAGTAAAACTATGCTGTTATGTGAAACTTTTCAATTCTAAGAACTGAACTAAAACAGCTTCTTTAAAAAACGGTCTTAGGTAAAACTAATTAACTGGCTGGGTAGCTGAATGGTTATGGTGCCCGCCTAGCAATCAAAAGGTTGCCAGGTCATTAATGGAAAAGTCAGTAATTTTGTGATGATCCTAAACTGAACACAGCTGTTCGCTGTTCCTGATCATTAGCCTCGAAATAAATGATAATGCTGTAAAAAGAATCAGCTGATCTAAGTCAGTAACAAAGTTACACACATTATCTCACGTGATTCTATCCTTTTCCCATAGTTAATCTATTTTCAGCTTAAAATATGCACACAGCCGTGTAAAGCTGACTTATAGCTATCAATTACTAAAGAGCGTACTAGACCTATTGTTAAGAAATCTACAATATTTAGTTAAATTTATCTACCACTAACTCAAACCCAGAATGAAACACTTGTTAGGTTAGGCCTACCTCTGGGGGTTTCATGTTGAGTACTTTAGTGATCCGCCCTTGCATAATGAGAAAGTGGGGGTTGTTGACATTGAGTTGCACAGAGTTGAACAGATCGTTGACTCTCTTGTTTTGTACTGTCACACCGTTGATGATGTATCGGTTCTTGCCTGCGACCACCGTCTGAAAACCATCATACATACACCGTCTTAATACCACATATCATGCAACTTGGTCACCGTGTTTAGGCCTACACAATTTTTACTTCTAGAACAATCAAATTAAAATACGCACCTAGTGGTGTCCCCATCTTTTGATTAATTGATTGATTGATTGAAAATATGTAAACTTGAATGATATGTTCACTGATTTGAATGCAATTCACTAAAAAATTAAGAGAGTTGCCTAAAGAAAATTACTACGGTATTTGTTTTTGCACTCCCAGTCCTTTTAAATGTAAAGGTCAAGCAGCAGTAAGTTTAATGAAGGTCCAGCACAAGTTGAACAATACCCGGCTTAGGACATAGACTAGACCTGTCCAGAATTTTAGTTACTGCATTGATAAAGGTATGCCAATTGTAAACAATAGCCGTACCTGTCTAGTAACAGTGATCTCATCGTACTTCTCATATCCGAGAGGAGACTTGCTAGTGTCTCGGTTGTCAAATGTGATGGTGACGGAAGCCTTTGTAACTCCGGCTTGCCCGCTTTTGTACACCAACTCTTGTAGTGATCCAGCACGAACCTACAACAATATTAGGAATCATAGACAAATTCATTATCTGTAAGCCTACTTCGATAGACTGCTTTAAGAAAATGTAAAAACTATAGGCTAATAAACAACTAAATCTTGTAGTCTTGTGTCCATGCATACAATGAGAACAATGTGTTGATAATATGAAAATAATTTTTTATGGACCTAAACCCAAATGTTATAATACTAATTTAAGTTATTTCCTAGAAATCATACAAGATTCCTGCTTAGCGAAAAGTCTGAGATTCATAATTCAATCTTGCAGTGGACAGAACTAACTTGGGCCCTAACTTAAAACACATTTATTTGATTGACTCTGGATAAGATCCTCAATCTGAGTTAAAAAATGTATTTCTTAGGCCTAGATTGATAAATTATTACAATTGCCGACTAAGATAGCAACGGAATCACAAAAACGCATATAAAACAGGTAAGTTAGGCCTTGAATACAATAATAAAAAATAAATAAGTTAAGATTTGAATAGGGATTAATTATATTCTTGTAAAAAGTCAAGTCTAAAGCTTTTAAGTAGCCTAGGCCCTACCATATAACTTGTTGGGCTAGAAATGTGTGTAGGCCTATTGTTAGTGGGTCTTGGTCTTTTGCAAGAATGAAAGGTTTCATCCAGACGTATGCACACAAATTAAAAAAGGTTCTAGACCATTTTCCCTTACAAGTATTTGAGATCCTTCAATTCAAAATGCCATTTGATCAGGCTAAAATGTTAAATAAAGAACTAACTTTAAACCTAGAGGTTACACTAACACAAGTGAGTAAAATAATTTAACCTATCAAGTTTTAGTAGGAAGTCTACATATCTAATTGGCAGCCTCTATTAACATACATATTTGGAAATGAAAATCTTTGTTGCTTTTAGGCTGAGAATTCCAATGACAGGCGTTTAAGTATATCCCGTGTGGTTACTGATGTAAAATACCTGGGTATTTAAAACTCTAGAGGTTAACTCTAGAGCTGGCAGTAGTGTAACACTGTACTTGCATAGGGATATTACTATTTTTAGTGTCATAAGTCTCTGTTAAGTATATTTGATTTTATAATCACTGTTTGTAGCCAATGTTTTTTGGAATAAACTATAGGCTGTATTCATTCATTCATTCATTCATTCATTATTGATTATGTAATATCATTTTTAAACCATCATAAAAATTAGAAATAGCAACATAACTATGGATTGTTATATATCATTTTGTTCAGAATAAGACAAAGAACAATATTATAGGTGATTTACATGGTTGACACAAACAAATTTTTTTTAGTTTTTCCAAATTGTGGGCATTATTAATTTTTTTATAAAATGTTTTTATATTCCGTCGTATAGCTAAGTGCATGTAAGACTTAGCATCATAAGGTAAAGTTTGTAAAGTTGTGGTAAATTTTGTGCGAATTCCAAAAATATAGGCTATAGTTTATAAAGGCTAGCTTATTTTGTGTATTTTGTTTGGTAGCCCTATTACTATGTCGATCTAGAACCAAATAATCACCCAACCCAGGTCATGTAGGCTACAAATCCGTACACCTTAATTCCAGGGTACTCTGGTTTGTATTATTTAACTTATTTATTACAACAGTAGCCCAAAAAAGTTAACAAAACTAAAAAAAAAAATTATATATAGGCCTACCGAACACCGGCATTGGCGCCGTATATCCGGCGTCGCCATTTCGGCCGCGGCCGTTCGCGCCGTATATCCGGCGTTTGCCAGCGCTAGGGTTAAACACTTAAGATAGCGAGTCCGATTGATTTGCCGGAGTATCCTATAGTGTGGGTCAGTACCCGGTCACGTGAGCGCTGCGACCACCGAGGGTCAGTAGCCTACTGACCCATATGCAGCGAACATGCTAACTTAATTTAATCCCTCTTATTATTAATTAATTAATCCTAAGATACCCCTATCTCTCCGTGGCTCTTTATTTTGAAGTTTGCTTAAAGTAGGCTAAACTTAAGTTTAGTTCAGAGCCAACTGGATAGTGAATAAATGGGTGGCAACTTCTTATAAGCTTGTAGCTAAGGCTATAAACTTGAAGTCCTAACTTATTTCATTCCTGTCAACTAATTTAGGTTCAAAAGGTCTTTACTTATGGTCTCAAGAAAATTTGAGGGATTTATAAGGTGGGTAGCAAACTTGTTTAAAGCATAACTTTGCAAGGGGTTAGGCAATGTTACAGTACTGGTACCTATGAAAGAACCATAAACTAAGGCCTAGCTAAAGACATCGAGGAGCCTATTGTACTTATGTCTAATGTAGGATTTGTGGCAGCACGTGGACTTGAGCCCACATCACTGCCATAGATTTGTAGCCAAGTCTAATAGGCCTAGGCCTATTAAATAGGCAGAGGATTCACGTCCGGTCAGGTGTCCGGCAGTTACTGTCATAGGCCTAACCTAACCTAACTTACCAAACTTGCTGATGATGAAAAAATCGAATGATGTTTAAATTCTGTTCTTAAAATAAAATTATAACTTAAATGCCTCAAATTCTAAGCCAAATCTTAGATAAAAAGTTAGAGTCACCGATAAGATTGGATCTAGTTACCACCTCTTGTTCATCAGACGACTAAGTTAAGTTTACTCTAAATACACCACGAACATCATATCGTATCATAGGCCTAGGCTAGTGGTTATGTTGTTCCGGGCTCCACAACCCGGTGACATCATTGCCAGACGCCTAATCCACGTTCAATTACCGGACACGTAAGTAGGCCTATCCTCGGAGTCCAAAGCCTTGGGTCTATCCTATTTCAAATGGAACGTGTTTTAAGTAGGCCTAAGTTTAGCCTATAAGCGTAGGCTACGCCTATGACTAAGTTAACACCAAAAAGCAAACAAATACTGAAGCTACGTTAAATAAACTTATTTGGGCCTATTAGATTGTTTTAGATGCTTTCAGTGGTAAGACGAAAAAACCTAGACCTAGCCTAGTCTTGTCAAGGCCTATTCTTCTTGAACTGTGAGCTAGACTAATATCAGAATCAGAATGTTTTTATTGTCCTCCAGCATTAGTCTACAGCCTATGCTATACCGGTAATAAATAACAACCCAATTTTTACCAGACTAGGGTGGGGAGTAAAAAGGCCTAAAAGCTTAACCAAAATATAAATCAGACTAAGCTACTTACATGAGTTAAATTCGTAATTCCTAAGACGAAACAAATAGCATCCAAAATATTTGATTTGCCACTACCGTTTAACCCAGTAATGGCATTAAACTGTCTATCAAAATCTTTAATCTCGGTTCGTTGGCCATAAGACTTGAAACCTTCAATAACCATTGACTTGACATACATCTTGGGGTGCTTGAAAAATCCTTACCCATGGATAATTTACAACATTTTAATTATAACTATTTGATTTGCTTAAGATAAAACACCACAAGTTTAACATTTAGGAATTTTACAACCAAGAACTAGACTCAAATATTCAAAATAAGAAAACAAACAAACACGATTGAGAAATTCACGTAAGAACATGAACAAGAAGGCGCCAAACCACTGAGCTATAATAATATAACTGGAGTAACCACTCTGTGTTTTAAAAACGTACCACTGTTTTTGCTGGTTTTGTTTCAGAGTTTCGTTTTGTTAGGTTGGCCAGGTGATCGGGTTGGTGGGACTTGTCAAATTAGAGAGGCAAAATCAAGATGGCGTCATCCTGTTTTGTTGATGATAGTAAACAAAAATCTGCCAACTCAACGTTATGATTGCAATATAAGTTTATTTGTTTATTTTACGAGCAAGAGCAACCCATTTTAACAAGATCATAAACCGATGGTCGTTATTTAATCAAATGCCGTTAGGCTATTGGCCTAAACCAATATCTCCAAACCAGGAAACTTGACTAGCCTATTTTCACCACATAGCTTTAAAAGAGGTAAATAAGTTAGTATTTATTTACTATCAAACAAAAACAATTTATAATGTTTCAAAATAAATTTAAATACAGAGGTTTTAACGTGCAATAACTTAAATAAGTTTTTGATACAAGTCCCTGATATAACGGATAACATAACCCCAAATAAATAGTATGGTTAGGTTAGAATGAATTGGAATTATTTGACAGCATCCCACCAACCGATCACACGGCCAACCTAACAACACGAAACACCAAAAACAAACCAGCCAAAACAGTGGCACGTTTTTCTCTAACGTTTAACCAGAGAGTAGTGACTCCAGTTATAATCTATATCTCAATGCGCCAAACACACCACAGCACAGCATCAAAGAAAACAAATTGCAACTGAATACCATAGAGTATTTGGTCCAACTCTATGACTGGCCACCTTTTTGGGCCTCGATTATGGTGTCATTTACATAAAATGTATTTTTAGTCTACGGTGTTGTCTTGTTCTATTAATAAGCAATAAGTTTTGAATATTTACAGCCACCTTTAACTACAGGCCGCGGCCTGGTAGAATTGGCAATGTCGCAAGTGGTGTTGTTTAGTGACAGATGTCCCATAAGATAACATGGCAGACATGTGACATCAGCTCATTAATTTGTACTTTAATGATACTATGGAAGGGTACTATGGAAGGTAGTGGCTGTGAATGTATGTTTGTGGTGAGTGTGGTTCTTTTGTGAGTTTGCGCAGGTATGAGTGGTCTGTGTGAATGTGTAGGGCTATGTGTGTGGAATGTATGTGCCAAGTCTCGGGCATTTCAAATTATTTGTTATTTCTAATGGTAATCTATATATATAAAAGGCATTTCCTATATTTTAACGTGCAAACTGAACGCGTGATATATGCGTGCATTCACTTTTCATTCATTTTTCATACACTGTATCGTTTTGTATATATTTATCTCGTAAACTAGTTTTTTTATTATTTATCTTTTCTTGTAAACAAAATTCTGTGTACAATGTATATTATTTTCCCTTTTTAAGAGTAGTCTAAATTTACTGTTTATTGTGCGGATGATGGACTCAATCCCCAACCACAGGCATTAGCCCATTTGGGGATTACATTTCAGTAATTGTTGTTTGTACCATTGTAACTGATGTACTGTAATGAAATAAAAAGGATTCATTCATTCATTTGTAAAATGTTAATTTTTACATTTTAGTAGTAAGCTAATTTACAGAAAAGAAGAAAATACAGGGTGACAATTAAGTCTGGAACATCTTTTTAAATTTTTAAAACACAATTGGAAAAAATACCACTCCGTTAGTAAAATACAATGTCACAAACCCGAACTCTAACGGACAAATGGAATTAAGTAAAAAATGACAGCTGGGGCCCATTTCATAATAAACTACAAGTTACAAGTTACAACTTGTAACTTGTTATTTCCATTAGATTTGCATTGGGCAATCAGCTGATTTACTAATAATATTAGTTTGTACTTTATTATGAAATGGGCCCCTGTTCAAATATTCCTTGAATTTGCAATGTTTACTGTGAGGCACCCACCAGATGAAAATCATAAACGTACAAGCATAGGTCGATGGTGATCAGTTCAGAGGGTTACTGAGCGCTGCAGTCTGCAGTGGTGGGCTGAGCGTGAGGTTGTCTTGCTGTGTTCTGGCTAGATTGTCTGCTCATCACTTTTTACTGTTGATCCTTCTAGGGCGAGGATATAATCTTAAAAATATTCCCTCAAAACCCCCTTACACAGTGTGGTAGTGTTAGGTTTCCAATATTTTGAGTAGGAACTGAAGTACTGTGGTTTTTAAGCATACCTACATGGGTTCACATCAACTTTGAAAAAGAGAAATAAGAGATACTAGAGTAAACACGTTGCTCGAAATCGAGCAATTGCAAAGAATTAAAGTAGGCCTAGTTATTTAATAAAAACAAATAAAAGTTATCATAATTTCAGATGAGTTCAAAAGTCTACCTTTGAATTGACAAATAAATAAGCGATTAAATTACATAGCTGATCAAAATGTAAACAATTATATTCCTCATAAGGATAACATGGGAACTTAAACAGCCACTGGGGCAGAGTCCAAGGGACTTTTACAAAAATGTAAGGTCACTTTGCAAATCTACGCGACACGCTCTTTCCGTCAATGGATAAAATCGGTTCGACAAAGTTTCATGTAGGTTAATAGATTGTACATTATTTGACCCTTTGCCTTAACTCTATGACCGAGTTAAGCACATGAATTTTCATCAATTATTTTAACAATCAAACATTTACAGAAACAACGGGAACAACATTAAGAAAAGGAGACTCTCTATTGAACAGTTATCACGGATATTGACCCATCAAATGAGAAAATGCACTGGAATGGAAAGACAAGTTTAAACATTCAAGACAAAACAATCCAAATAAAACTGAATTTTTCTTATTAAATACCTATTTTGGATTGCTTGGAAGAAGTTATTTTATTTGGCAACTTTAATATTAAAATAGGATAATCTGAAACATTAATCTCTCAACCACTGCCAAGCACAATACCCCCCCTTCCCCCTTGGTGTAGGTTCAGTTTACCAATAATTAAGTACATAAAATCCTGAAGTTGTTAGCTTTTTGAAGGGGTCGAAACTGAGTCCAGTGCAAAAGGTAAATACAAAATAAAATGTTTCTAGTTTTATAAATACCATCACTTTATTTTAATGTACATTAACAATACCATTTATCAATTGGCACTAACGATAACTTGAAATCAAAATATTCCGTTCTTTAATATTTACATATATTAAGTTACCCTTTAATGAGGATAGAAACAATTTACAAAAATATCAAGACTAAAGATTAATAACTATCTAAATATTATACAAAAACCACAAAAACAATAAAGATTCAAACTTGGACTAATGAAATACATTCAGATCAAACAAAATGGAGGCATTCTACAAGGCATATCGGCAATACACGCACAAATATATTACCTGTTACTTAGTTTATTCAAAAATATTTATTGCTAATAAAAACCACTTTAGTAATTCTTGATTTGTTGGATTGCAAAATTTTACTTACTCAGTCAGAAATGTGTCTCATGGAGAATTTGTTCAAATGGTGAAAACAGAAAGTTATTAACTGTTTCAAAGTAAACATTAGCTTTCTTAATATAAATCCAAACGCCAGTTATGAATTAAATTTGAACTGAACTGACATTATCTAATGAAAAGATAGTGGAAAATTAAAAAATGTAACCAATTTATGCAATAAGTAATGCGGTTTATATTGTTAAGTAAAAATGTTGGATTACTTAAAACAACTATTGTCATTCATCTCTCAAATCCAACCCTCTGCCCGAGTGCTGTGAAATGTTTTGTATTTTATTTGTTACCTATTTACTATTGCAAGAATCATTAGGAATATGCACTTGTTACAGAACCCTTATGCTACAAATATAAATAACTCTCTCTAAACATAAATTTTTTTTGCTAGGGACGATTATAAAAAAAGACTATTGTTCTGAAAATGATCTCCAAATCAACATAATTTTAAAATAAAAGAGTTGAACAAAACTTGTTGCTTCCTGTTGGTTACTACGCTAAAGATACACTAACGAGTAGTTGTACTACCAGCCGTCAATTAATAATTCCATACTTTGAATTTCTACATTATTATTTTACTAGTAAATATTTTCACAGTTTTTAAGATAGCCTACCTCTTCCAAATCACGATTCAATAATCTTGACATGATGAACATAATTGGATATTGTGACACCAAGCACAATGTAATGATGGACGGATAACTTTAATTTCAAAACTAAGTTTTTCTATATTTTCTTACTAAACAGTTTGAACAAATTAAAATAGAGTTAACTTTGCGGAATAGTATAAAAATTCACTGAACGTTTCTTTATTTTATCATCTCTGCATCCTTGTCTCCTAAAAACTAAAATACAGAGTTTGAAAAAGAACCTTCTGTTTCTAACCAATCTTGGAAGCTTTATTAAATTACTTCCACTACTGTAGTTTCCTGTATGTACAGTTCGGCCAAAGTTTCTGTGCGCGCGACCAGATCTGGTTGAGTCTAGGCGAGGGGGTTGGCGGGGATACTTTTGTGAAAACATTTGTGTCTTGCTACTCACTCGCCACTACCCCTAGCACTGCCAATAGCCGGTACCCGTATGTTTTAGTTCGGCTAGTAGCGACCCGTCCACGCGCACAGAAGTTTTGGCCGATCTGTATTTGGAATCAGTAACTCATCATGTTTTCTTGTGTAAGCAGGAAATTTTACCTATTGGCAAGTCTGTTTAGTAGTCTCAAAATATGATGTGTAATTTAGTGTAGTGTAATGTCAAAGTTAAAGCAAATACAGCAAATCTTGGTCTGTATGGAGGAGTGAACAATGCACATGTAAGTTAGTTGCAGAAAACTAAAACCAAAGATTACATATGCTATGTAATCTTTGCTAAAACTCAAGCTAGTTTCTCTGTAACAAATGTATTCATTATTGATAGATATATTGTTCATGTTTCACAGTGAAACATGTCCTAAAAATGGGAAGCTCTTTTTCAAAAACCCTGTATTTACAAAACCAATCAACCAAATATTGATTTTGCCTGGGGGTTAAAAACTTAATTGTTTTCAACGCTAAAAAATATTTAAGAAAAACAAAATCATAATTAATTACTGAGATCTTATAATTTTTATAGCATTGGCTATGAATCTTTCAGTGTTGAAAAATTTAACAACTCAGATGTCGCCTTGCATAAAAAAAAATCTTTTCCCAGAAGGCTGGTAAGGTTATTAAAGTATGATAAGTAATAAAAAGTTACATACATAATACATGAAAAAGTATGAATATAACAACTTATATTTTAATTTATATTTGGTTTTGAATTGTATTTTCTTTTTCCATACACATTTTACTCAAGTAGAACCTAGCAATTTAAGTATTTGCGGTGACGACATATTCAGCTTATTGTTGTTGAAGAAGAAAAATTACGTAACATGTTTACTCGGAGATTTATCAGACTTTTGAGGAAGATACAAACCGAGCTTCACGCCCAATTCTTTTGGCTGGCGGGAAGAACTACGAACCGGAAAAGGATTGAACTTTTGAGGACTCAAAGATAACTTTTTATCCCCGTGTTTGTCAGATGTAGATACATCAAATGATTCTGCCCTTTTCTTTAAATATGATCTGTCTTCAACATGGCTAAAATCTAAACTTTCAGTCCTTGAATACCTTTTGAAGTCTTTAGATGATTCATAACAGTCTGTACTCCGTTCAGGACTTCTGATCAAACTACTATCCCGATCTCTTCGGAGTGAATGAGAAGAACCGTAGTAAGTTGGAGAAGGACTTTTAGCTCTGGTAAAACTGGAATAGGGAGAGGTCAGAGATTCAGTCGGGAGAGTGTCCAGTCTTTTTCTCACTGGCGAGGCACTTGAAAACCTGTGGTGGGGCGGAGACATACTTCTTCCATAATCCTCACTTTTATACCTGAACAGCGTTTTGTCTCTGGGTTCAGTTTTTGAAATGGACGATCTCACATCATCGGAAAGGAATTCCGAGTAAGATCGGTTTACTCTGGAACTACTCGATCTAAAATCGTAGGCACTTTCATTTTCTTCTTCAGATTTTAAAAGCTTTCTATCAGTACTTGAACTTTCAAATTTGTATGGTTCTTTGTCCAAACTCCTATATGGGTCAAGCTCTCCTTTTTCAATAAGCAATCTGCCATGACTTTTGTAGCTACTTAAATACAAAGAGTCGTCATTGTCTAATGTTTTTGATGATCTAATGGAAGGTCTGTAGCTTTCTCCGTAAAGATCAGTTTTAGTAGAAGACACGTCAAATGAAGCCGTTTTACTATCATGGAAACGATGTCTGGGCGACCTGTCGTATGACAAGTCAGTAATTGATTTTTTAAAACTATATTGATCATCCACTTCTGATGAGAATTTCAACATATCTTCAACTGGTGATGTTTTTCTTCTTATTATACTCTCGTCTGGAGTAACAGGAGTAATGGGGATAACATTAGACTCTGAATATTCAAGAACTTCTTCTGGTTTAATGTCTAGAGCACGGAGTTCTTTTATAATATCCTCATTTGTATCTGAAAGACTGTCTATTTCAAAATCTTTTGCTTCTACTTGTAAATAATCAGATTTTCTGTGCAATGCAGAGATTACTGGGTATGTGGATAATTTGTCACTTGACTTCACTAAATAATCTGTTGGTTCATTGACAGTTGAAGTTGATATTAGTTCCATCTTGGTATTTATTTCTGGAGGGGAATTTTCATCAACTTCTGTGGTCGGGGACATAATTGATGGTCTTTTTGAATAACTATACGAATCCTTGGTTATTTTCACTGTTATGTCATTTGTATTTTCACTCCTCTCTGAGTTCAATGTTGATGGCATGTAGGGTTGAAACGTATCCAATGACACAACCGTATTTTTAGGGTTTGAACTTATACTGGTATCGTTTTCAAACTTACACAGATCTGGCAAAGAATTATGTTTTTCATTAAGGTTCGATTCCAATAAAATTTCTTCCTGTTTAACTATCTTCTTTGCAGCAAATATTTCACTTGTTTCAGTCTTTTTATCATTATCATTACAAAAGTTAGATTTAGTTTTGTTCCATAAAGTTTCATCAGAACTTATAACATTTCTACCACAAACGTCGTCTTCAAGATTTTCAGGAGATAGTCTTGAATTTGCTGAAGACAACTTATTACACAGTTCAGGTTTCATATCATCACACTGAAAAGAGTTTGTAGAATCAGTATTGATGTTCATGATCGCTTTTGTTAGAGCAGAGATCTCTTGGCCCGATTTAAGTTTTTCAATATCTTCTTCAGGCGATTCTGACCTCAAAAACCGTTGATATATCAAAGTTTGATCCACATTTACCTCACTATTTCTTCTAGACTGCTGTTGTATTTTGGAAAGTATTTGTGAGTTTTCTTTTAAAATCAAACTCAAAGCAACTTCACTACCTCTTCTGTTGGAAGAAACTGATGAAGGTCTTCTTGGTTCTTCATCACAATTGTTTTTCTGCTGATCAATTTCTTTGTTGTCAATGTTGTCATGTTTAGGTTCTTCTTTCGTCTTTGTTGTGATATCTGTATTGCTTCTTTTAAGTTCTTCAAGTTCTTCAGCTACTACTTTCGGTGTGATTTTTATTTCAGTTGAATCACCAGTTCCAACCACAATTTGTTCCTCTTTGAGCCTATCACTTGAATTCCCTCTGCTATTATTGCTTTGGGTTTCAGTAGACTTATCTGATTCGTGAGTGTCGCTCATAGGGTTCTGCAAAGTTTCTGAGGCATTGTGAAAACTTGTAATCTTGTGTATTAATGTTGTGTCAACGGGGTCTATACTATTTGTACTGACATTATTAAAGGTGGGTAATACTTTCTCTGTGGATATAACTTTTTCTTGTTCCGCTTTAGAATTACTCATTGAAAGATGTGAACATTCCGGTTCTACTGAATCCACTTCGTCTTTAGAAGTCTGTCCTAAATTGGCGTACTTCTCTCTAATGGAGTTGATTCGTGCTTCTCTAGAAGTCACCGCAGTCACATCAGGCATAGATGAGTCAAAACTAAGCGATGCAAGTTTGGGTAGAACGCTAGCCAATTTCCTTTCAAGAGCTTTTTCTGAATCACTCAAGTTAGGCGAGGTTGTTCTGCTGACCCCATGACTCTTCAATTCAAATGTTTCGTTTACAGAACTTGACGTTTCATTTGAACTTTGTGACACCGTATTCACACCACTACACTGTGGATCGGATTTTGGCAAGCCACTGCTTTCATGATTCAACACCTTAGTAGCAATACTGCCATCCCCAACAGATTCTGAAACAGATATTTTAGCTTTCATGTCATCTGACAGATATAAGCTTCTTTGAAGCAATCCACTGCTACTGTCATGCTCATCTGATTTGAAACACGATGTTCCAGGTCGACTTTGTGATGAACAGTTTAATCCTTCAGTCTGCTCGGATTTCAATATTGTTACAGGCGAATTCACTCGAGATCCGAGTTGATGTTTTGAACTGAATTCAGACGAATTAGAGTTCCCAGAGTAATAATCATTATTTTCTCTCTGTTCAAAGCAATTTTTATTCTGAAGGTCTTGTTTAATGAACAGTTCATCAAAGTTATAGCTTGTATAAGGTGTTTCAGTTTCCTCGTCCTCTTCTTCTCCGTCATATAGTTCTGGACTTTCATTGTCTGCGTAGACTGCATCATTGACCTCTTCCTCAGCCATTGAGTCCGCTGGGTTACCATCAGTATCATCGTACGACTCATTGACTTTAGTTTCATCACACTCTTCTACAGATGCCATTCTATAAGTTACAGGCTTATGTGTCGTGATAATGTCGGGAACGAGAATAGTTTCTTCTTCAAAACCGCTCAAATAATCTTCAGTTGAGCACATTCTGTCATCGGGTATACTAGAAGGTGTATCTCTATCACATTTTTCCATTTCCTGGATATAATCTCTATCGAAAGGAAACAAAACTTTAGAGTTCAAGTCTTCAGACTCTATTCCAGCACTAGATTTTCTCCGTTCGATTTCAACTATTTTGAGGGAAAGTTTCCTATCCAATTGTCTTAGTTCTTCCGGGTCAATCCTGAAGGAAAGTTTTCGCTTATGTGATTTTTCTTCATCATCAGGGCTAATACAGGTTGGGCTCAAACTTTTCATGGAGACAGGACTTAAACTCTTGCAAGACTTGCTGTCGTTTAGTTGGACTTCCAGTACAGACTGGCGTGTGTGTTTTTCCTCTTCTGTTTTATCAATCGCTTCTTCATCTTCTTCTTTGCAGCTGATGATATCAGACGGATGTTGGACTTTTGGTTGCATCAATCTCTTTGGGGTGGATGGTTCTGTGTCTGTAAATAAGCAATAATTTATTAATAAGATTTGTGAATAATAAAGACACACATTGTGAGATGAAACCTTGAACATACTACATCAAAATTCTAGGAGTAAATGACCTTGTAAAAAACGCACTCAACTGAAATTATGAAAACTCAAAATAAAGCAATAAAACAACAAAATGTGCTACGTTAAATTGCAATCTACTACAGCATCTATGTTCATTCATTATCCAATATATACATGTTGTTTTATTACCTTAATAGAAATATCTTCAGTTTTAAACGGTTACAAACGATAAGGCACCAATGGAACAGGGGTAGTTACAAAATGTTGCACGTAAAAGTTTTCGTTGGAAATTTAGTTGTAGGAAAATACTAGTTCTGGATGAACAAAAGAATTCATGACTTCTTTTATAGTAGCCTACATTACCTTTGACGAATTTCATTTCAATAATATTATTTTTCTAAATTCCGGAACAAAAAGCAGCTATTATGAATTTAGTCCAACGCAACTCACACATGCTAACTACAACTGGAAATACTTCACCAAGAATCGTAATGACTGGGGTTGCAAACTCAACTACGTCTTACCGAACATTATTTCAGAATGATGTAATGAGATGAATTTTGAAGTGTGGAAGGTCAAACTGAAAAAGAATTTGTTCTGATAAATAATGAAACATTTATATTTATAACTTTTCTAGAAAGATCTCCCTTTTAATTTGGACAAAACCTACAAATAAGTTAACTTATATATGTAAGGAAATTAGCTAAACATAAAATACATTACAGTGTAAGAAGGACCTTGTACAAGCATATACTGTAGTGAAGTTTTCAGGCAAACATCATGATGAAATTTTCAGGAAGGAAAACAAGGAATGGATTAACAAGCAAACACAGTAGAGGAAGCAGTGAGAAAAGGAGACCTTAACAAAATGTAAAGCATAACAACAAAACCAGCACAGTAATGTTTTATGAAACAAGACTGAGTTTGAGATAAAATGAGGGGTGTTTTTCAGTAGTTGAGATTGCCAATCCTATTAGCCAAAGCAGCTAATTACCTAGGTCCTAGTAGTGTTTGAGCTATTTGAAATAATGGGTACGGTTAGCGTTTTAGATCACGATGTCATTAAGAAATTTAAAGTATAACATAATAGTGGGAAAACGCAAATTAATGACTCTGTGATACGTTTTTTCAGTCATGACGAGATCATGATGAGTCATGACTCTCCTTTTGCGGGCTACACTACTCGACCACTCAAAGTATAATAATTTGGCCAAATTTGTGTTAATGTTTCCGGGTTCATATAAGTGTTATTTGATGACTCTTCACGGCTTCAGGGATGAAGAGGAATTTTAACTTGGTAGACCTTTAGGTTCAAAACCTTGGTCGCTGACTGAAAAAACGAATCACAGACGGTACAAGAGGTATTAAACCTTTATATTTTATTCATTGTTAACAATATTCATACTTCATTAGAAGATACTTTCACAATGACTGTGATATTGGTTAGCATTTAGCAACACATCACACACCTGATGGTAGGAAAGCAGACGCATCACTGAGATCTTCAGAGTCACTCGGGCTTCGTTGAGGATCATCACATAGCTCCGTGGAGGTAGAGGACGAACTGCTGCGTCTGGAACCTGGCTCAGGGCTGTGCTCTTCATCTGTACAATCATCAGTGTCGCTAGAGAGAGGTAATAAACAAAACCTCCAACTAGAGGTGTGTGTGTGGCTCGAATTTCAAGCCAAGACAAGTCTAAAAGCTTGAGTGATCAAGCACCAAGTCAATCAAACTCAAGCCAAGCTTTTTTGCCACAATTGCAGTAGACAATGGTGATGTTTCCAAAAGCTAGTCTTGAGCTCGGCTCGATTGAGAACCACAGGCTTACAGACCTGTACCTCAAACACATTCTCTATGTTAATCTTTCTTCTGTTTTCCACTTTTCTGTTTGGTTTTTTGTATTCAGCTGCTTTAAACATTCAAGGATGTAACATACAGCTCGAGGGCCAACATTTTTAGATTTGTAGTGGAAAAGTAGGCTTAACCGATTGGGAATAAGAGTCCAAACTGGCACAAGATACACAAAACTTTATACTATACACAAAGCTGACAAAACATTAGAATATTTCATTGTCACTGAAATACCACAACTCAAAAGAATATCCTGAAGAATATTCTGTTTTCAACAAAAGTATATTATTTGTATAACAACAATAATGATTTATTCACCTAATTTACTTTGAAACTTTCCGTTACACACTCACCACTGTTATCTCTTTGTTGGATTTTCTTTCCGTCCGCCGTGTCTTTCCAGTGCAACGTCTCACCACTGATAGTTATGGTTTGTTTTTCTCCTAAAAATAGAAAGAGTTGTAATATTTTTCTTTAATAGGTTAACTACCAGGTGTTACACTCGTCTACAGGTACACACACCGCATCGTGTAGTCAATCAATCAATCGATCAAAAATTCTTTATTCACAAAGTTTAAAATAGACAATATGTCTTGAATAGCGTAATTAAACTAACATAAACAAAAAATTATAAACTAAATAATTAAAATCATTCACAAAGGATTTATATAGTAAAACTAAAAATGAGTGCTATAACTTAAAAAAAATCACAAAATCTTAGAAGGTTACGTCAGAGTAAAACTAGGTAGTATCTGGAATTCAAATGGTCGTTTCGAGATTACAATTTAAAAATTCTTTGATGGAATAAAATGGGTTTCTTATCAACAAGTCTTTTAGTAGTCTTTTGAATCGGTTTGTATTATTTTCCTTTTTAAGTGAAATCGGTAATTTTTGAAGAAATTTTAAGCCTGCATATGAAGGTTTTTTGGTATAGAATTCTAAATTATGTCTAGGAAGGTTAATTTGAAAGCGTGTGTTATATTTACTTGCAGTGGATAATAAATGAAATTGTTTTGCATAAATTATTGTCTCATAGATATACAAACTGTAAACTGTTAATACACCCAATTCAGGAAAGATATTTTTAACTGAATCTGTTCTTTTTAATTTCATTATCACTCTAATAGCTTTTTCTTGTTTTATAAGTATTTTATCCAAATTTGCCTAAGTTGTTGCTCCGTAAATGGCGATTCTATAGGATATGTGGGAATGAATTAGAGAATAATAGTTTATCCTAAGAGTTTCCAAGTTGCAAACCTTGGACATCAGCCGCAAGGCATGAATGCCAGATGATAATTTATTTACTACATAGTTTATGTGATTATCCCAAGATAGATTTTCATCAATAACCAGTCCCAGAAACTTTGTTTGGTTTACCTGATCAATTTTGTCTGTTTTTATAAAAATATTGATAAATAGTCTGAAATAGTTGAAATAGTCTACTGAAACTTGGCAGCAAGTGTGTTAATAGGTACTACAACTCAAATAGTTAATTAAAAGACAATTATTGTCTAGTTATAACAAACAGGCATACTTAACTAAGTATTATCATTGACCTTTTTTGAGTAGTCACCCAACCAATATAGACCACATGTAGCCATTTTTGTTCAACTAAAAAAGAACAAAGTTGAATGACTTACTCTGAGTGTATTACAGTCAAAAATTACATTCACCCTCATTTTGTTAATGCAATTTAATGTGACATAAATGCAATTTAATGTGATATAAGATATAAGGTTTCTATAAGTTGTCCTTTCACTTTTTTGGCTTGGTTGAAATGTTGACATATTCGGCAGAAATAAGTAATCTACTCCAGCGCACTCTGTCAATGGCTGTAGCTTAACATTGGAAAGGAATGTATAGTCCTACACAGCACAGTGTTACTACCTACCCTGTCTGGGTCGAGGCTGGGAAGGTGGAGGTATGGAGCCCGGAGGTGGACCAAGTCTTCGACCCTTGTTGTTGACTAGAGCGAACTTCCCCATCAACAGATGGTTCATGGCTACATGGGACGAGGTCGGGCCGACCAGACTCTGATTGCCACAAGCAGCTGGAGACAGAGAAATTCCTTGGGGTAAACAACTCACTGTTGATTTTGTGATTAACAAAAAAAGGAATTAATTTTTCAAGTCGAGTCATAATATTATACGGTATTGTTCATAATATTAAGTGTCAATCATTGCATTCCTTTACAATAATGTAAGATTTGGTGAGTAGTTGGCCCAATCGGTAGCGCCACGGACTTTGGGCCCAAGGCACCGATATCTGTTCGGATCCTGGTACCTATTTTATATTCAAAATCTTTGCAGTAATGCAATTCTGAAAGATTTTAAATCAGTCAGTGTTCTTTGCAAATTTATAGATCCTTGACTGCACATTCTCTTAGTTACCGCTGATATACTATTCACAATTGACTAACCCACCTGTAAGGATGACATGGGCTTGTTTCTGTCGCTCCCTCAGTTTGCGGTATTGCTTGGTCAGAGCCGAGATGTCCATTGCGATCTTCTCTTTGTCTGGACAAGTGAGGGCTCGCGGAGGTGAAGTTACACCAGTGGCTCCATCTGTGACAAACACAACATTGCTGGCAACATGATACACATAACATACTCATACAGATAACAGAATGTTAGAGACAATTTAGCCATACAGGCAATACACTGTCTCTGACAGCATGATAATTCAGACATAGTCAACAAATTGACGGGAAAAAGTATGTAAATATTGTTTCACCACGTTACACAGTAAGTATGGTTTCAAGACCGTATTCTTTGTATACATGAAAATCCTTGTTTACAGAAAGGGGCCGAGTCTCTAGTCAGCTGGAATACAGTAAATTTACTGTTCACTTTCACATGCAGGTGACATGTTTTCAAAAGGGTGTAATATGAGTTTCTTCAGTTCTTCATGCTAAATATTTGACAGGTTTGGCCAGGCACATGGTTCACAAATAAATAATGAAAAAGTTTAAAAACAGTTGACAATTTTGTTGAAATGTTGTGATAAAATAGTGAACTGTATGTTTAACATTGCTGTGATTGTTTGTTAGGTTTGTATGTTACTTGTGGTTATTGTGGCAAAACGTATCATGCACGACTCATCCTGAAAGATGTTTACGTTACCTGCATGAATCTATCGTATTTATATTGTAAACACCTACATTCCGCCTTGTAGCTTAATAAACAATGAAATAATTTAACAGATAACGCACAAGTTAAAAAGGCAGAAAAATATTCACTCTAAAAATTAAAGGGGAACGATGATATAGATAATTTTTCTTCCACAAAAAGTGAAGACCTAACATTCTAAATGTGCTACAAACGTAAACATGAGGAGTTAAAATGTAGCCACATGAACTTAGGCTAACCTTTCCGTTTGGGTGAGCGGAAGAGACCGTAGGCCGTGGCAATGGCAATCTTCTCATCGTCTTCCTCAGTATCAGTGTCATCATCGCTGTAGAAGAGTCGCAGACCTCGACGAGCGACTGTAGACACAGATTGTGTCCAAGGAGTGATGTTGTACAAGTACTTCTCTCTCAATTCCGGCAACTCGGGGAGTGTGAACCCTACAATGGCCTGCAAACACATTTAAATGGAAAGGATTAGTACGCTGAGAATAATTATACTCTGTAGACAAAAGAGTTCACCGACAGTGTAGACTAAGTTTATTGAAGGTGAACTCTTTTTGTCTACACTTGAAAGCGTCCCTCGGTGGACGAGGTATTGTGTGTTTGATGTGTCTTCTGTGGTCTACCTTTGCTTATTCAAAGAAAAGCTAGCTATTTATGTCTATAAATGGTGACACACTGTGGCTACGTGAGTAAGATTTGAGTCTTGCATTAGCACCAACAAGTAATGATGTATACAGTTTAAAAAATCAAATACAGAAATGTTTGATTACCTTGATCAGAGCGTTCGCATCCATCAATCCAAACTCAAGCATCTCCCGAGTCAAAACTCCCATGATGGAGTAAAACTCATCAGCACTCTCCACCGTCATGATACGACTGTGAAACATAAACGTATGCTATATAGTATATACAGATGATAAACACGTGTTTGGATTGGCTCTTGACTGGTTATAATGTTTAAAGTCTAATAATATTTGCAATATTGCATACAAGTAAATCACATAGTTTTGATTGGATTTGGTTTGTTTAAGTTGGGATACTGTCAAGATATCTTTTCTGATGCCACCCAGCTAAAAGTGAATCTAATAAGATTGACTTTTACCAAGCTTACAGAAACCAAGGTAAAATTCTTGGATTGTAAATGTAAACAATTTTGGAATGTACAAATTCTAGGAAAAGAGTGGTTTTGATTTAATCTCACTGGGTCAGAAATACAAATGCTAATCCGCCAAGCTTCTTCTTCTAGTTCATTAAAGTCAAAAATAAAAATTTTTGCAGATAAAAAAATGTATTGAGTAATTGAGTAGAATGGTCCAACCAATTTCTTTGTATTTAGCATTTAGGGATATCTGGAGACCTTTTCATGAGGATATACTTTACACATCAAGCCTGATTCTCTTACCAATCAAGTTAATTACTCTTCATGACATTCATTTGATAGTGTAGAGCAGGTTTAGTGAAATGAAATGAATGAAATGAAATGTTTATTGTCCTTAGAATTTTCACAAATTATTGACAAAGTCATACAACTGCTAAGGTTTATAGCATAGTCAGTTAATAAATACAGTAAGATACAATATAGCTAACTACATAAAATGAGACATTTTACAATACACATTTTAAATATTACAATTGAATAGGTAATCTAATTCTTAAGAAAAATTTGTGGTATTGAAAATAATGGTAGTGATTAAACCGCATAACCAACAAAGTCCAACAGTAATTTGGTCAATTCGCAAACTCTTAACTCTACTTAAAAATTAATACCAGACATTTCAAAAAATTCATTTAGAGAATAGAATGGGTTGTTCAAAAGCCATCTGTAGAATTTTGTTTTAAAAGTGTTTTCAGGATATTTTTGTATTAAATGTATTAGTTTGTTGTATATTTTTAGTGAGATTACAATATGGCTTTTAAGAGTTTTAGACAGTCTGAAAAAATCTATGGTAGCAAAATCTAGTGTAAAGGGTAGCACAAGAGTCACCCAAAATAGAACCTGGTGTGTTTTCCTTTGTTATATAAATGCAAACTCGGGCAAGATAAGCAAAAATATATACAGGATTGATTGAGAAAAGCCTCGTTTACACAAGGCAAGTTAACTCAGGTAACTTGAAATAAACTAATAAAGGTAACCTGTCTGCCTCGTGTAACGCGGATTTATTCTCTATGTAACAAGAAGGGCTGATTAAGCTACACAAAAACTGCAAAGACTGCTGTGTTGTCTGAGGTAAGCTTAAAAATTCAATCCTCACATATGTCCACCATTTAACATGATTTAAATTTGAAACAATCTCAACTCAACTCGAATTTAAATATGGGAGACTCTAGGATTCTAGGGTGGAGTCTTGAAGGTATAAACAGTAAACACTCACTCAGACAGTGTGCTCCAGATGGCCAGAGCAGTGGAGAGGAGGATGTGGTTCCCCTCCAGGAAGATGAGATCCCAGACCCTCAACACAGTGTCTTGAGGCAGGCAGTTGCAGAACAGAGTTAGGAACCACTGCATGGTGAACACGTTGGTCAGTGGAGGCTCGTAACTGGTACCTGCAGACAATTACATTAATCAACACAGTGTCCTGAGGCAGGCAGTTGCAGAACAGAGTTAGGAACCACTGCATGGTGAACAGATTGGTCAGTGGAGGCTCGTAACTGGTACCTGCAGACAATTACATTAATCAACACAGTGTCCTGAGGCAGGCAGTTGCAGAACAGAGTTAGGAACCACTGCATGGTGAACACGTTGGTCAGTGGAGGCTCGTAACTGGTACCTGCAGACAATTACATTAATCAAGACAGTGTCCTGAGGCAGGCAGTTGCAGAACAGAGTTAGGAACCACTGCATGGTGAATACGTTGGTCAGTGGAGGCTCGTAACTGGTACCTGCAGACAATTGCATTAATCAACACAGTGTCCTGAGGCAGGCAGTTGCAGAACAGAGTTAGGAACCACTGCATGGTGAACACGTTGGTCAGTGGAGGCTCGTAACTGGTACCTGTAGACAATTACATTCATCAAGACAGTGTCCTGAGGCAGGCAGTTGCAGAACAGAGTTAGGAACCACTGCATGGTGAACACGTTGGTCAGTGGAGGCTCGTAACTGGTACCTGCAGACAATTACATTCATCAAGACAGTGTCCTGAGGCAGGCAGTTGCAGAACAGAGTTAGGAACCACTGCATGGTGAACACGTTGGTCAGTGGAGGCTCGTAACTGGTACCTGCAGACAATTACATTAATCAAGACAGTGACCTGAGGCAGGCAGTTGCAGAACAGAGTTAGGAACCACTGCATGGTGAACACATTGGTCAGTGGAGGCTCGTAACTGGTACCTGCAGACAATTACATTCATCAAGACAGTGTCCTGAGGCAGGCAGTTGCAGAACAGAGGCTCGTAACTGGTACCTGCAGACAATTACATTAATCAACACAGTGTCCTGAGGCAGGCAGTTGCAGAACAGCGTTAGGAACCACTGCATGGTGAACACGTTGGTCAGTGGAGGCTTGTAACTGGTACCTGCAGACAGCGACAGTGACTAGTTGAGATGAGTGTAGAATAAAGTGTGATTCCTTGTGTAGCTTCCTCACATACCAAGATCAGTTTTGAACATTATTAAAAACCCAATGATGATTCATGATTCAATTCTTTGAGGCAGCGACGCACATATTTTAAGCTAAATAAAAATGCATTGAGTGTAGAATGGGGTGTGATGGTCTGTGTAGCTTTGTTACTAACTAAGATCAGTTGTTAGTTTGTCGTGACTATTTATTAAAAAACAAAAGATCAAGGACAACACAGTTCTGTTTTAAGTTTTAATAAATGACATCAGTGCAACAGTCCTTTATCTAGATGATGATGGGAGGTACTTATTCAGGGGACTAAAGCTACTTAATTTATTATGAAATCTAAGGGACGTTAAGAGTGAGTTGGGAAAATATATGTAATAAAACAAAAAATCATAGGAGGACCAAGAGTTGAGTGGTAAAATGCAATCTATCCTATTATTTTTTAGTGCGAAGCAAATTTATTTAATTTATTAGTGGTAAATTTGTTAAATTAGAAACACACTCATTAATCTACTGCTTTCATTCAAATCATGTTTGTGACTTTTATTTGGCATGTTAGGGTAAAGCCAGAACAGTGATTCAAACTGACTCGTGGATTTATATTAACGTTCTGAAGGGATAAATAAGTCTAAATTTGTCACATTGAGTTTCTTAAGACCCTGATTATAGACCTGAAGGATTAAATAAGCAAACTCATTAAGTTAATTCAAAACAATCAGTACTGGATTTATCTCTTGGAATTAGTTTGCTTGGAAACAAATTTCTTCTCTCTCATTAAAATATTGTTTCTTTGGAGCAATACCCGTCTATACACGATAGTTATTTCATTTTTATTTTCCTTGAACTAACAAAAAAATTCCCATATTTTGAAACTTACTTTTAACTTTTAAAATGTTTTATACATTCATAGTTTATACATAATTTGCCTCCAGGATTGATCTATTGACATACAATGAGGTTACTACCCTGTCGTCAATCAGTCCTCTATTGTCTTGGATGACTATAGTTTCGGGGTTAAGACCCTCTATTTTCAAACATGTTCAACATGTTTGACATTTGACGACTGAAGAGAAGATTTGAAAATGGGGTCTTACCTGGTGTCAACAATGGACAATGCACCTACCCCCGCCCCCGCCCGTCCTCCTCCAAGCTCAGCTGATCCGGCAGTCGTGGTTAGGTGTTCGACCCGCGTGCGGGCTAAAAATAGTATATTTCTACCCTGAAGAAGCAGAACGTTTTTTTGAGTTCCGCGAAACGTCGGACTTTGATGCCGTTGACGATTTTGTGTTTTATATATGTGTGTTTATGTGTGTTTTGACGAGTCCCGGACATCACAGACAAAAATAAAGGTGAGTGAAGCCCACAATAATCTACGTGAATGGGGTCTTACTTAACCCCGAAACTATAGTCATCCAAGACAATAGAGAACTGATTGACGACAGGTTAGTAACCTCATTTTATGTCAAATTCATAGTTTACTTAGAACCTCACCAGAGTCCTTGGATTCGCTCTGCAGTTGGTCAAAGTGCCTAGACAAGGTTGGCAGTTTTATTCGCAGCAAGTCGCGGAACACTGCCATGTCTACAGACAAACCTCGCAGATTGTTGGCAAAGTAGCTCTCCGGCAACACTCCCTCTATCAGGAAGATCATCACCTTCACTGAGTCAACCTGCGGATAAAGCTTTGATTAGATTGTATGTGTTGACGACTCTTAATTTTGTCAACATTCAGAGCCCGAGCAATGTTGTATCTAGATGAACACTTGATGGGATCAAAATTAGTGGAAACAGAAAACAAGGTGTCAACTTTCATATTTCAGTTTAGTTATCTCAATTTCTCAAAATAAAACATTTAGCATTTCTGTAGATACAACTAAATCACAAACAAAAATGAATACTCTTTGGTAAGAAGAACTGTATTTTTAAGGAAATAGTTCTAAAAACCTACCCAATAATTATCTGTTTACAAACACGTAATTATGAATTAAAGTACATATGTTTTCCACCTGAATGATTATGAAAACAATAATGAAGAAAGATTTATTTGATTAATAAAGTTCAAGCATTAACTATCAATACTTTGAAACAACCAAGCAAACTTGGATGCGCGTATTTTTTAAGGTGATATGAATGCATATTGCAAGGTGAGTGATGCAGGTGAAATGATCTCTGTGTGTGTGTGTGTGTGTAGCTGTGTTGCTGACTGAGCTCAGCTGTTTTGTCAGTCAGGATCATTTATTAAAAGCCCAATGATTAAGGAGAGTTGGACCCAATTTCGAACAATCAACAAGTTACCTAAATGACTTTTCTCAGTAAACCTTCTGATCACTAGGCGAGCACTTGAACCCCTCAACCACGCAGCTATTTGGTTGTCAGAGATGGTGAGTTGGTCATTGAATTGTTATGGGCATTCTACACCGGTGATTAATACAACAAAATCTTGTAAACTTCTATTTTACTATTTAGCGGGTAGCAGAAAATAGTTTGACGCTATTACTGGAGTATCAAACCATCCCAAGGTATTAAAAACCATATACACAAATACTATCCTCCAACTTACCTCAGATTTGTCCATAACCTGGAGAATGAGGGCAGCGAGCATGTTGAACCCTTGACAGTAACCGACAGCTTTGTTCCAGCGAGCATATGCGAGCAACACCCGTTTGAGCAATGCCTGATTGTCCTTTCCAGAGACTCCACAGAAGAGCGAGCATCCTGTACGATGGACGTCCTGAAAAAAGTTACGCAGTCAATTATTTTTGATTCATATGAAATATTGATTGTCTGAATTAAATTAGCAAAAAGTTCAATTTATTCAAAAATTTTAACAAATAGTAACCACATTTGTTTTATCAAATCTTTGCAAAGGTGTTTTTTTGTGTTTTTATTTTAATGAAAAGCACTATTGTCGGGACCACGTAAGTTTGCAGTTGAGGGAGGAGCCTATTTACCATATGGTTTTGAATGAACCAATGAGAACCGTGCGGTGTTGCCTAATCTAATAATACCAGCTGATTTGAAAATGCTTAGTATGTTTAAATTTGTGTTGTCAACAGGCGATGTGGCAACGTCGCACTAGCCTTGTCTTTTGATTGGCTGTCACCAACTGCAAACTTACGTGGTCTCGACAATAAACTAAACATATTTATTCACTAGCAATTTCAAGGAATCATATATTTGTTTCACACTTTTTGAAGTGAAACACTCCAATGTGTTTTCTCAATTAAATGGAGTGTTTCAATTATATTTTAAAGCAAGGAATAATCCTCTATTTAACATATTTTCATACTTAAGATTTAATCTTAATGAAATTAACTTAGCCAAAAAACAAGAATGATAAAAAAACCACACTAACAGACACTGTAAGTTTACATTGATTCAAGTTCCAGATAAAATTTTTTTAGTGTTCCTCTTTCTAAAGCTTTGCAAAGCAAAAAAAAAAAAAAAAAAAATTAGAAACATATCTGTGTCAATCTCAACATTTGGGAAAAAGGGTAAATCGGGCTAAGTAGACATATTTTATGCATTAAATTTATCTTAAATAACTAACTGGGAGAGTAAAAAATTTGGAAAATTGATATATAAATATTTCAACTGTAATTATTTTGTGTAGTTTCAAGTAAACAAATAATATCAGAGTAATTTTAACTAAGTTTTTCATTCTTTGAAGAACACATACAGTATGTACAGGATATATGTGTTCTTCAAAGAATGAAAAACTTTGTTAAAATTAATCCCACACATTAAACTTTAACCTTTCCTTCTGTGACAGTGAGGTTTAACATGTTAAAGTACAAAAGTGCATGAAACGTAGCCTCATTAGAGCTTTTAACACAACCCTCACGGACCAACAACGATAGGATGATGCTCAGTTGTTTCTTTAACTAGCGAAACAACTCAACTCGTATAACGAGCCCTTAAACTTGAACTGCTTTCAACATTCTTAGTAAACTGTCTCCCTTTAAATGACAAAGTTTACTAAAATAAAAACATAGTAAAAGGTTGAAGGTGAAAGTAATGGGTTGAATAATTCAATCAACATTGTGAACGAATGGTTATTTAATCCAATATAGATGCAAACACATCACATCCATTAAGATGATTGTGACATGTTTTAGTCACCAGAAAAGTGGTTACAATTTAATGCTTCCGAATTAAGTTCCAACGTAAATAGTGTTATTTATTTGTGATTTTTACACAATTCATTGAAAATTATTGGTAATAAATTATTTGTTACACAATTATTAGTTTCTCCATGTAAAAATTAAACTACAGTAATTTAATTACTTTCTTTCCTGTTCTAGGCCGCTATGCACGAGCCCGGGATTGTTTTTCACTTTACTTCAGGCTAAACCTAATGGTTGGGGTACTATCACTTAGAAAAAAATCTATTGGTGATTTGGCAGGATTTGAACCTGGGACCTCAGGCTCCTCCGATTTTGCTATTTTTAGTAATTTAAAATTAACGTTAGATCTCATTTAATTATTCAGAGTAGGGGAGGAGTGGTGTGGAGGTTTCTGCATCACTCGCACTACCCTCCCTACACATCCTGTGTATTTGACACACAATCTTTACTATTTAGTTACCTTAACAATCTGAACACCCAACTCTTCATCGTCAGGGTTTGTGTACTCGTTGAAACAAAACTCCTCGACTTGCGACCACTGAACTCCTCGACTGGCCAAGTGCTTCTCAGCAAGGTTCAGCCATAACTGGAAAAACCATCGAGGAGGTAAAATATCAACTAGATTATAATACAGCTAATATCATACACAAATATATAACCAACCCAAAATAAAATATCACATTGGATTGTATTGGATTGTACAATGCTATTATACCAGTCTGCATATTTAAACATGAAGATGAATGTTGAATCAAATGTTCAGATGATAGTATTGTTACTGACTGTGCTCAGCTGTTTCTTTAGACAGGGTCACTTATTCAAACACATTCAGGGATAGTTCTGTTTTAAAATCAGAAAAGAGCTCCTGAATTCTCAGGGTTAAAAGTGGATATGTAGATAATAACAGTTTAAAACTCACACAATTCTGAAGCCTTTTATGTATGTGTGTTATTATCTGCCATATTATGGGGACGTCCCGCAAGGAGTCAGAAGGAAATCTTAAATAGAAGCATAGGTTGATATGTACATCGAATTAAAGACCTATACTAGCAGAATATACTACCGCAAATTTGAACTCAAACGGATAACAGAGTAAAAAATGGCAACCAGTCAAAGATTTCTTTAATCTGCCATTTTTTACTCAGTCGTTCAGTCGTTCTTTTGAGCTTGAATTTACGGCATTGTAATCTACTAATGAAGACCTTTAATTTGATGTGCATTGAAAATTGTTGGTGGTTGATACCTATGCTTACGTTAACAATTTTCTTCCGATTCCTAGGGCTGTGCCCCCCTGAGGAATTAGCTTATAATAGCAATGCAAATTAAATTAATCTTTGAACCGCTGTCATCCTTGGCTTGGTTGTCCGTTTAAGTTCAAATTTGCGGCATTATATTCAGCTAGTAAAGGTCTTTAATTTGATGTACATATCAAACTATGCTTCTATTTAAGATTTCCTTCTGACTCCTTGTCTCATATTAACTCCTGGTTATTTGTCCCCATGATATGACAAAAAATTGATAGTTCCCTAAAAAGTAGACTTTTAGGTGTGGTGTTGATATACCAAATCTTATTGATTTGTCTGTTGACGTTTAGAAAATATTAAGCCAGTGCGGAACTTTATGGTTACTTATTGTATGGTAATGCACCCTGTATACCATACAACAAGTAAACCAACTATTCAATTTTTGACTCATTTCATCGTTTTTTTAAGTGTAATAAATTTGGAACAGCAACTTTTTTAGGCATGAGTGGCGTCAGTTCAATTAAATAAAAATACATCTCTAAACATTTAATTTAAATCGGTCGGAAAATAATAATTTTTGATTTTTCTATACACATGCAAAATGGAATGAATCACCCTTAAAAGTATATAAGTCAAATGTTAACAAATGACAAACTTAAAAGATGCTCAGGACTAAAACTATTATAAAACATAAAAACAAATAATTCAACAGAAATTTCCAACCACCAAAATTAAGTTTTGATGAAAATGAATAAAACAAGCTTACAACTCTGAGGTGAAGTTAGAGATAAATTCTATTCTGTAATTGCATTTCAAGATCATTTCCACCGAAAGGCATTAGTGTTTCTTTTGAGTCCAACCAGCAACAAGTCAGGATCCGCCAGACTTAGGCTTAGTGTCACAGTAAAGCTGGAGAGATGGCAGCAATAAATACATTTTGGTCGTGAAAATATCATCTACTCAGATAATTAGTTTTTTACTAACCTAATCAGGTCGCTGAAAAGTCAACATTTATGGAGTACTCGTGTAAACTATTTATGATGTAAATGGACAAATTTATACTTTTATTTTTTTATTTAAACAAAATCACTAGCAATAATGGAGGTTTAAGAACGTCATGGGAATTGTAGTTTTCTAAAAGTTTTTGATTGTCTAGTAAAATAAGGATATGGTAGAGTAAAAATATGGTAGAGTAGAATAAATTATTTTGCTTCTATAGTATATACAGAGGTCACTCAAAATAGATTGTGAAATTAGTTTTATGAACAAGATTTTTGGAAGGTGGATTGAAATTTCACTACAGAATTTTGGTAGTTCTTTAAGTTGTTTTAGAAAAATTTTACGAGTATTCAATAAATTAAAAGGTTGTATTTACTGTTCAATGCTATTGAATTCATTCTGCCGTATCTACATGACTGATATGAAAAGTAGTTAAATCTACAAACAAGGTATTGAGTCATGTCATTTTCACCTGTTACTTGAAATTGACTAATGTTTCGCTCAACAGTGACAAATTTTGATATACATTCTTTCTTTTACACAGAGATATCACCTTTTAGCGAATTTCCCATATAGGGAATAAGCTATTACCGTAGTACTCATGGTAAGACCTGGACAAGGGACCGATTTTTGTTTTGTTTTGAGGTCCCTAGAGGCCAAAAACACCATCCGTTCAAATTCATATATATATATATATCTAAACTACTAGCTGTAACCCGCGGGCTTTGCCCCGTTTAACCTCTTAATTTTCAAGATGATCTCGTTTGCATGGCTCAATCACGTCCTGGTTGAAGTTCGTTTGCTACGCTCACTCACCTTTAGGTTGGAGCTCGTTCGCTGCGCTCACTTTCCTTCAGGATAGCTCGTTCGCTACGCTCAATCGCCTCCAGGTTGAAGTTCGTTCGCTACGCTCACTCACCTTTTGGTTGCAAATTAGCTGTTGTCATAAATGTAAAAGAAATAATAGTGCTAGTGCTGCACCCTGTTGGTAATCCTTGTAACTTTAATGCTATTGAACATCATAGAACAGAACCAACTTGTTTAATTGAAACAGCTGTTAAGATTCATTAATTCCATTTCTCATAAGGTTAACATGGGAAACTTCAGAGCCACTGGGGCGGAGCCCGGAAGGATTTTTGGGATAAAAATATGCTTATATGTTAATCGGGAATATGAGCTATCATCATGCCGAATTTCAGCCCGATCCGACCAGTAGTTTTCGCGTTTACTTTTCCCATACATACACACACACAGACACCACCTCTTCTTTATAATAGTATAGATAGATAGATAGATAGATAGATGGATAGATAGATATACAGCCGCTTGTGTAACTGACTGGGGATACAAATTCTAGACCACTTCTAGATGAGCTAGAGACTTGAAATTTTCGGTGGTTGTAGGTCTAGTGCCCACCCATAAAATTCCAAAAAGTCGCATTTTCAAATTTTAACCCCCCCGAAAATTCGAATTCCCCCCTCATGTTATTCTTATGGGGAATAACATTAAAAATGGCCGACTTTGGTATGCCCATCTGAACGGTTTAGAAACGTGCTAGAGACTTCAAAGTTGCGTAGTATTGTACTATGGGATCTTAAATTAACGGTGTATTTTGCAAAAGTCCCATTTTCAAATTTTAACCCCCCCAAAAATCCAAAATGGCGGACCTCTGAAAACTACAAAACACTTTTTTTCTACCGGATGTAGCTCAAAAACGGTAAGAGCTAGAAAAGATTTGAAAGAATCTTAGCAAAAGGAAATTAAATTTTCTACAAAACCCTCTCAGGCGTTTTCCAAAAATCGCACTCCTTCAGTTTCAAAAAAAGGCCTACTTTCAAAATTTGGTCAATTTCACATTTTTACCGGTTTTCGCTGTTTTTTCATACTTTAATAATTAATTGTCGCAAATATTATTATTGATTTGTATTCTCCTTAGTTTACTTTAAATTTTACTCATCTCATGTTTTTTCGTAACTTTACTTCTTGACCCCCAAAACTTAATATTAATGTCGAAATTTGAAATTTTTTCGAACCCCATGTTATTCTTATGGAGGATAACATTGAAATTTAATGACTTTTTTTATGGTCATCTGAATCGTTTAGAAACGTGCTAGAGACTTGAAACTTGGTAGTATTTTAGTATGAGATCTTACATTACTGGTAGTATTTGCAAAAGTCCCATTTTCAAATTTTAACCCCCACAAAAATCCAAAATGGCGGACCTCTGAAAACGACAAAACACGTTTTTTTCTAAGGGCTATAGCTTGAAAACGGTGAGAGCTAGATAAGATTTGAAAGAATTTTCATGAACGGGAATTAAATTTTCTACAAAACCCTCTTAGGCGTTTTCCGAAAATCGCACTCCTTCAGCTTCAAAAAACGCCCTACTTTCAAAATTTGGTAAATATTTTCAAAATTTTTAACGGTTTTCGCCATTTTTTCTTGCCTAAATAACTTTTTTTTAAATATTGTTAATGTTTTTATTCTCCTTACTTTACTTTAAAATTTACACACTAAATGTTTTTTCGTAACTTTACTCTTTGACCCCCAAAACTTATTTTTAATGTTGAAATTTGAAAGTTTTTACGAGCCCCATGTTATTCTTATGGAGGATAACATTGAAATTTAATGACTTTGTTATGGTCATCTGAATCGTTTAGAAACGTGCTAGAGACTTGTAATTTGGTAGTATTGTAGTATGGGATCTTAAGTTAAGGGTGAAATTTACAAAAGTCCCATTTTCAAATTTTAACCTCCCCAAAAATCCAAAATTGCGGACTTCTAAAAATGACAAAACACATTTTTTTCAAAGGGACCATATAACAATTCCCCTCCCCCCCCTCCAAAATCGATTTCTCCCCTTATATCTTTCCTATAGTCACTACGGGTGCATCGGTCTATATCACGTTTACCAACTTCTAGATTAGCTGGAGATTGAAATTTGGCACCATTGTAGATCTTGAGCTCTTATTTAAAACTGACATCTACAATAATAACCCCCCCCCCCCAAATATTGAATTTCTCCCCCCCCCCCAATGTTATTCTTACAGGTGCATCGGTCTAAATCACGTTTACCCATTTTTAGATTAGTTGGAGATACTGAAATTTGGCCCGATTGTTGGTCTTGCACCCTTTTCGGAAATTGACATTTGAAAATAATAATAACGCCCTTCTAAAATATTGACTTCTCCAATTGCATCAGTCTAAATCACGGTTACCCACTTCTACATCAACTGGAGATCTTAAATTTGGCACGATTGTAGGTCTTTAGGTCCTGCGTCCTTCTTGAAAAGTGACGTTTTACAATAACAACCCCCCCCCCCTCAAACAAACTAGACAATTTTTAAAAGTTAAACTTTCCTATTATAACCCTTTTTAAGAATTCCGCTCCCAACCTTTTCTTTTGGGAAATAAATTTTTAAGCTTCTGACTTTTTTTATATGGAACAGAAGCCTTTTAAAAACTACTTTTCCGTAATAACCATCTTACAGTTATTTTTATTTGTATTGCCTTCTTGACTTCTTTACGCTTCTTGGTGTTGGCCTTTCACCCCCTCCCAAGTTTTGAATTCCCCCTTTTATTTTTATAGGGAAAAAGTTTGAAAGGGGCTGTTAGATATGTGTTACTAGAGATTTTAAATTTGCCAAGGATGTATAACAATAATTCAACACCCCACAATGGGGGACTTGGGCTATACTCTAATCTACTAATGACGACTAACAGCTAGGGGGCCTGGGGGCGGAGCCCCCAGCGAGCCAAAGGCGAGTTAAATGATATAATATCGCATTGTCATGCATTTGTGAGCTATGTTTCAAATTTCAAGTCTCTAGCTTATCGGTTACATCGTTTAAAATTGATATCAAAATTTGTATGAAAGCGAGCTAATAAAAACAAGCCCATGGGGCGTAGCCCGAAAGGAAATATGAAAATTAAATGATATAATATTGCATTGTCTTCCATTTGTGAGATATGTTTCAAGTTTCAAGTCCCTAGCTCATCGGGAAGTTAGTATAAAATCGGTTGCAAAATTTGTAGCGGACAAGAAAGCGACCTAATAAAAACGTTTTAAAAACTGTTGACATTTTCAAGGAAAATAAGTTAAGAAATAAAAGTGTTAAAAATAAAAATGTTGTTTGATTAGTTATTCTGTATTTCAAAAATATCCTCATTTATGAATGTGTTTTCAGCTAGACTTGGTGACTTTTTCATAGTTAAACAAATTTTGAAGATATATAGGCCTAACTGTTTTTCATACAACTAGTGAGAAAATGTCATTATATAGGAAGTTTGTTTTTACTCTCTTAGGGAAAAAAAACTTACCTTCACAAAGAATATTTGTAGGCCAAGATGTACGTAATTTTTTTTTTTTTATTTATAGCTTAATGAGTTAACTAACAATTTCCAACTAACAACAATTGGCAATTGATGCAATTTCAAATAAATACAAAAACTGACAAATGACTTAGATAAATACTTATATAAGCTTATTTATAAATTAGAGGAAACTTTATTAGATCTCATGTTTTAGTCAAATTCAAACATTTACAGTAGGCCTATTTTAAAATAAACACTTAGTTCCATATTTTTGCAATTGTTGTTTGCAATTAATAATAAACCTTTAACACCAAAATATAAGTTTGATACACATACATATTGTGTTTTTTATGGTATAACAGTTTATGATATTATTAGTGGAAGAAACTGTGCAAAAAAGATAGGTATCGGAAGTATCGGTATCGATAGGTAGGCTATCGAGAGTACTTTGGTGGTATCGGTATCGACAATTTTTGGTATCGGCTCATCTCTAATCAGAATTTTAAAAAATTATATTAATTACGCCTATCTTATTAAAAATAACACTTAGGCTTAGGAAACATGGTGATATCAGTTCTAGGGATAGAGTTAAACTTGTCCTAAAATAAAATAAATCATAAAATAAAAGCAATATTAATTTGTATAAAATAGGCTACTTACTTGTTTTGGCTATGTTTACAGTAGTAAAACATGCCTCTAACTGCTTACACTTAACAAAACTTATCAAATGATAAAACAATTTATGTAATATTTATTTGGCAACTACAACGCGCTCCTGTATTGCGTGTATTGCATTGACTTTCTGCAGGCGTTTAAATTTCTTTATTTTTATCTTGTCTTGAAAAAATCTTGATCAAAAACAAATCTCGTCTCGTATAACAAGATTTAAATATTTAAAATTTCCTGAAATTTTTACCATTGTTATTAGCTACAAGTTTATGCATTGCTTATAAGTGGGCCCCTGGAAAGAATATGGCTGGGGGATTTAAAAAATGTTGTGGATCAGACTTCAACTGGCTACACAAAAATTATTGTTTTTTTCCTTAACACAGCCTCAGAATATTTTGTAATCATGAGTGCAGGAATGAGCAGTCACCCTCCAACACATCAACTAACCTAACGTAAGGCATCATTGGCTGTAAAAGAGACTTACTAAAGAAAAGAGAGTCTTATGTTTGTCTAGGTGAGGTTGAATGAAGTAATAATTTGGATTGTTGAATCTTGCATTATTTATGACTTTCCCTTAAGAGTCCTTGTAGCGGCCATCATGGATAATTTCAAACAGTTGCTAAATAAAGAGTTATTTACCATCTCAAATATATATATATATATATATGTGTGTGTGTGTCCGTCAGCACGATAACTCAAGCAAAAATGATCCGATTTTGATGAAATTTGGTACAAACGTGTAAACCTACGTTTATTCGAACGAGTTCGCGATCCAGCATGATTGGACCATGGGAACGGGTGTTTACGGGGGGGGGTTTTATGGGGTAAAAATAGGTTTTTCCCATTTTTGACCCAAAAAACTTAAAATTTTGCAATTTATTTCCAAACCATTTTGTAGAGCTTAAAAAAACAAATAATTTAGTATATTGAAGCGTTATTATGCGCCTAGCGGTTACGGGGAAAATTCCAAAAAATTGTAAATTTAAAATTCCCATGTTATTCTTATGGAGAATAAGTAAACTGTTTGCTTGTTTATGAACATATTTTGATCAAATTTGGAAAATGTTTTTATTTCTTACTAACTATTAACATTTTACAAAAAAAAAAAAAAAAAAAACAGTTTTACCCTCCCTGATGCAGCAAACCTAAGTACTAGTTAAACTAATTATATTTAAATTGGGAATAAATGTTATATTTTTAAGTAGACATTTTAGTGTAAATCCAATCAGTCAAATGGAAATTCGCTTAGTCTGCAGGTTTGCTGCGGCGGGGGTATTAATTTCTCATGTTTTAGGGCCCATTTCAATAATTGGGTTTGTTATTAAAACAAAGTCTGAAGAACATATTATTAGAAGCATTGTTAAGAAAATGTTTGTTTTCAGGTTGGTAACAATGTCCTGATGGTTGCACAGTGAAAGTAAGCCTTGAAGTGTGTTCAATATTGGCCACAAAAGCTGTAATCAAAGGTTGGCACACCTGAGTGAACTCACAGCTCGTTGAACTGACAAAGTCTAAACTCGCTAACACAACTTCCAATACTATCGTTTCGCTTGAGCGAGTTTGGAGGGCAAATATGAATGGATGAATGGTTCCCAATGAAATGTTCAACTTAAATATTTATGGATTTGGTTATCACCCTGAGCTTCAACAATGAAAGAACTTGTGAAAACAAAACATGCCAAAACAGAAGGTTAGGGTTGGTGGTTGTAATTTGAAAAGTTGGATTAATTCTAAAAGTTTATTTATATTTAGTTCAGGCTATAAAACGTTTTTAAAGACCGCTAACAAAATGAGAATTATTATTAAATTCTTAAAGCTTAAAACATTACAAATTTAGTTTACTCTCCATGGAGGAATGTATTGTGATCAGGACTTTAATCTAGTGGTTAACAAAACAGGTGTAATAAGGGGCTATAGTATTATGCTTGATTGTTTCTTTTTTTAACTGATTTGCTTGGTGAACAAGTATCTAATACAGTAGAGTCCCGCAAACTCTGCCTAATGTGGACTGGAAAGGTGCCGAGTTGCATTTAACCACCTTTTTTATTTATATTTATATTACAAGTCTGTATAAACCAACAAGATATAGTAAAACCAATCCTTGGTATGAGTTGTGAATGATTTTACTTGAGCTGGCTAAAGTCCATGTTTAACTTGGACTCGAAAAAATCACTACTTTTCTGAGCCAGGTGATGGCCAAGTTATCCAGACTGCCAGATTATCGAGTGCCGAGTTTGCGAGACTCTACTGTACTTCTATTTTCAGGAAATATTAAAATTCATAGTTTTTGGAGCCCTCTTATCCAATAATTGTGGATTAGCCTGGTTCCGTTAATATTCATCAAGTAAGCTTTTTTAGGGATGAGCTCTCAGTATTTTTTGATATCCAATTTAAATGTTAATGCAAATGGTGTCACTTTTTTACGAAAGACTGTAACCAAACACTGTGGAGGTTCCACTCACCGTTTTCCTGAACTGCGATGGTATGCCTTCCGGTAGCCTGGCTACCATCCGCATACCGTTCTGCCATTGTGTGAACCCAGAGTCTCCCGGTGCCGGCGCCACCGAGAACCGGGTCTTTGTATCCTCGCCTGAAACAATCACAGAACCATATTTACCAATGCGTCTATGACTTTAATTTGTCATGATGAGTTGACCTTTGACATGTATTTATTTCCTGCTTGAGTAGAGTTGTAGTGGTCAATAGCGTAGCACACCAAGGCCCCACTAGAAAAACAGGCCATGCTGCAGGATCCATGACGTCACACTAGTGGATAGATTCACTGCAATATCCTATATGTTTTAGGTAAATAAGCTGGCTGTTTGTCAGATTTTAGTACAACTATCCACCACTGTGACGTAGTGTTGCACTCCGCGCTGCAGCATAGCCTGTTTTTCTAGTGGGGCCTTGAGCACACTCACTTAGGGCTAGAATCTAAAACAATTGAAACTCATATTGTTGATATAACTTTCAATGAACAAAATGAAATAATTTCCGTGATTAGAAGTTGATTACAGATTACAGACTGGTCAAGGCAGGAACAAGTCAAATCCAACTCTGGTGTGAGAATCAGAGAGTAGTTAACCAAGCAGTAAACTTTTGCAAAGATAAAGTCTATTAAAAACTTTTTCCATAAAAAAAAACTTGAAGTTCACATACAGCTGTCATGTGATTATGACGTAAGCCATGTTATGTCTACTGCAATCTCTGAGCATTACCTTTGACTATTGGCAGAACAAGAACTATACATTCATGTTACAGATTAACATAAACAAACTGTCATTTTATTGACTTTTGTTTTAGGTTATGTCTATATTTTTAAGATTTTTTTGTGTCATACACAACCCAAAATCTACATCCTGGATTTGAAAAGTATCAACCACAGTTAAGAAAATTAATCATCCATGATACATTCTCTTTTGAAACCGAAAAAGAACCAAATATCATTTGAAAAAAACATTGAAGTATGATGTCTAGCTTTGAATAAATGTTTACCTTGTTTGAGAAATTGAGGGTAAAATTTACTAAAAGAAATGTATTTAAAAGTGTATTTAGTATTTTTATTCGAGTATTGGAGTAGGCATAAAAAAGAATTGTATTTGATTTAATTAATTTCAAAGCAACTAAAAACAAGAAATAAAATGCCACATTAAATTTTACTCTGCTGGACTGAAAAAAATATTGAAGATTGTTATGATATCTAGCTTTAAATAAATAAATGTTTACCTTGTTTGAGGATAAAATTTACTAAGTAATGTATTTAGAAGTGTATTTAGTATTTTTATTCGAGTATTGGAGTAGGCATAAACAAGAATTGTATTTGATTTAATTGATTTCAAAGCAACTAAACAACAAGAAATAAAATGCCACATAAAATTTTACTCTGCTGGACTGAAATATAATTTAAAACTCATAGTTATTTTCAGTGTAAACAGTTTCGTTAGTTTGTGATTACTGCCATATGTTTCACCCCTTATTACTTTGGGTAGCTAGGCTGAGACAAAATAGTTTCTTCGTCACTAGTGACATAAGTCAACAATGGTCTTAATGTGATTGATAAGAACCACAACATTTTAAGGTATTGTGTAAAATCTGTACTGAAAGTATCCTTCTATCATTTATCATACAACAGAAACTGCAATTTACAATCAGGCCAATGTAGAATATTCAACATTAATTCATCCACAAAAGTATCACACTTCAAAAGTATACAGTAAGTAGTAATACTTTTGAATACAGTTTATGCAAGTAAAAAGTTGTGTAGTGCTCCTGGGTTGTTGAAGCAAACTTTCTTCTTTTTGCATCACACTTCCAAGACACCCTTTCTGTGCATTACTAAAATGGGTGAACATGTAACTGTGCTCAACAATAGTTTGTAGTCACCTCAAATAACACTTGAATTTAGTACATTTATCAATGAGAAAAAAAAAAAAACTTTATCTTGTGAAAATTAGTTATTTTAAAATCAAAATTTTAAAAACTTTCTATAGGTCTACTTCTTTCTTCAAAGATAAATCAAAGAACACCCTTCATAAAACTAACACCTTCATTAAAATATTCTTTTAATGAACCTACATTATTCTATAAACGTTATAAATTAAATAATTACTGTAAAAGAAATCATATTCTCAATTATAAAGTCATTGGATTGCATGGTTATAAATTTATAATTTAATAAACATTCACTCGTACCTTTTTATTCAGTATTATTTGAACCTCTCGCATTCAACAGAGTCACTTTGTAAGTTTAGCGCTGTAGTAACCAATCTGTGTCTTTGCTGTCAACCTCCCTTCACAGGCGTGTGTCGCATGCAAATGTTGCCTTTGGCGTAGATATTCCAGTAGCCGAGACATGTTGACGCAGTACAGTACACAGGGTAAACACTACACGTTTCAAACTGTTTATACGTCGAGATTCTTATGAAAACGTCTCTACGAGATGAGTAAATTGCATCTATATAACGAGAATGCGGATAATTTTATTGTTATATTTGCAGTTTGGTTGATTAGATAGATATTTGACAAACAATTAGACCAATTAAAAAGACTTTGTTTGCACTTTGACATGCACTTGGTTAGCGTAATAGCTGGATAACTAAACCCTGTACTTACGGAAGACTTATTTACAGTTAAATTCCACAAAAGAATTACTGTAAGATTTTAAAAATTGTAGAAATCAGTTTAAGGATTCAATCTGCTGCAAAATTATTTTAAGTGTAATAAAAATTAAAATAAAACAAAAAATAGGCCTCGTGAAAAACCTAATGCAGTTAGTCTTCACATTCAAGAAGAAGAACAATTTAAAAATCTCTGGTTACGGGTATATCTTAAAAATAAAACAATAAAGAAATATGTACAAAACTCTTTATTTACAAGAAAAAAAAAAACTAAAACAACTTTGTAAAAACAGACTAAACTTCTTGACTAAATCAGGAAATGATGAAAGATGAAAATTGTTCATGAAATCCAATTAAATCTCTGGGTTAAAATACTGAAAATGATAGTCACGTTATTAGTTCAAAAAGAAGAAACGTGGGTCTATAGGGCGAACAACCCCCCCCTCCCCACACACATTGATTTATATTTTTATAAATTTAACAGTCACAATTTATAGCCTAATTTAGCCCTCCTGGGTGACAAAAGGGTTTGAAATGCTTTCCATTCCATCCGATGGGCAGATGAGCACCACAGAAGTTCCACGACAAACGACCAGTCCCAACAACCGAGTGTCGTCTGTGAGTTTGTAGGGATCGTCGGGATCTCTCAGGTATTCTGTCGTGTTGTCCAACACAAGGTTCAGGAGAGGATCGTATCCTTTCAGAACGCCAGCCACTTCTCTCCCTCCAGAAAACTTTACCCTGATAACTTTTTCCAGGTACTTTGACAGGTCAAGAATGCTCTCTTTCCGCTTCCTGTCTCTTTGTTCCGTTTGTGGTGCAGCTGTTGCCATTGTTTTCAGGGTTCCAAAAATCTGTAAAAATCCCATGGTGTAACTGCAGTCAATTTACGGGTTCGGTGAGTTTACAAAATTTGTTTAATAGTTTAAAAGTTAAGTAATTGTATAGCATTGCGCTTGATTGTACCATTGTAATTGTAACTAGACATTAAAACATCGCTTTATCAGTATTGTTGCGTGCCTGTGTTCTGGAAGCCCACAGGCAAGCAACCCAATTCTGGGAAGGTAGGTGACAGCTTGTGGGCAATTCCATAAAATGGTCAACCTCTATACTTTTTTGTCAACTTTATCAAACCCATTACTGTTATACATTTTTGGAAAGCTCGTTAGTGTAGCTTTCCACTCATAACATTGGTTACAAAAAAATAAATAAATAAAAAATATATACATGTTTTTTTATAGACTACCGTTTTTTTTTTCACTCCGATTTACAACCATGTTGGTTATTTTCATAACCAACAAACAAAATTTTCTCAAATAAGCCTTATGAATTATTTTTTTGATAGTTTAAGAGTAAAGCTAAATATTAATGCAATTTAGAATTAAGAAAAAGGTTTTCTGTCCACCCTACAGATGTTTAACATTAAGAAAGATTAAATTCTACGTCCGACACCAAAAATGTACGTTTAGTTTTACTGTGGCTAGAGGGATTTTTTTTAAAGCTTGAAAACTAGTATGCAAAGCAAGTTTACATAGGTCTAAATGATCCATGTTTGGAAAAAAATCTATCATGTATGGTTTTTTTTTAATCATGGTGTCGGACGTAGAAAATATTTCCTACGTCCGACTCTACGTCCGACACCAAAGTACTAAAATTGGGTAGTGTATGTTAAATACCGTAACATGCTGCATATACTATAAAACCCTAAGTTGAGTTTTTATCATAGTACTCAATTAACCTGCACTAAGGAACCTTTCAGTTTAGTTAGATGTAAAATTTATCCCACACCCCCATTGTTAAACATAAATAAAAACATATCACCCAAATTTATAAGTTTTTGTAAGCTTCAAAAGTAAAAAAAAAATATATAACATTTGCTACAACTGTTGGTTATTAAATCTCTTAAATCGTCTTTAAATCTTCTTAATTGTAGGCGACACAAGCGACGATTTAGTAAAAAGAAAAGTAAAAACTGTTCAAAATCCGGAGTCTTCGGACAGTGATGACTCAGAACAGGAGTATGGCGAGCGTTTCGAAATAGAGAGAAATGACCTAAACCTTCAGGATTTAGTGCCTCAAAAAGACTGGGTTGTGGTTAAATACGATAATGATTACTATCCAGGTGAAGTACAGTGTGTTGAACAAAATGAAGCCAAAGTGAAAGTAATGCATTGCTCCAAGTCAGGTGCATACTATTTCTGGCCAACTGATGAAGACTGTATTATGTACAAAGCCAAAGACATTGTGAAGAAAATTGAGCCTCCTGAACCTTACGGAGGAACAAGAGACCACTATAAATTTAAAAGTATCATCGGTCCACTTCCAGATGTGCTCCCTTGAACACATTTTCTCATGTCTTACTTTTAGGCATATAACCCAAAGTGCCCATGAATTTTTCATTTCATTATTTTTTTTAAAGAGACTAATTTGTAGAGAATGGGTAATTTGTAGGAATTAAGAAGCTGTAACTTTTTTAAGTTAAATAAGCAAAATATCTAATAAAAGATGTAAAGTGTTTATCAGTCTTTTACTTTTTCCCTGAAGGTAAAATGTCAAACCATATTGTGCAACGTAAATGTTCGAAATTTAAATATTTTAAACCCAGGTAGCCTATAGAGGATTTTAGTAATTTTATTTGCTCAGGCTCATTTAAATGCATGAATAAATGTTTAAAAGGGTTCATATAAAATTGTGAACGTTTTTTTACATTTAATTACTACCTATTATTTGTAAATCTAAAAAAAATCACACAACCTACGTCCGACACCAAAAATTCTACGTCCGACACCGTAGGAGATTTTTTTTTGTGTCAAAACTATTGAACCAAAAAACTTGAACCTAGGCTCTTTTTAAAGCTAATAAGTTTCTTTACATCCATGATTTTTTCTGTTGTTTTATCTCTTTAAAATTCACAGATTTTTAAAGTCAAATAAGGAAAAAAGAAATATCGATTTTGTGCACTCTACGTCCGACACCGCAGAAAAAATTTTTTTTAGCCATTAAAGATTTTAAAATTTAAAAAATGTTACATATGAAAATGTTCTTAAAGAACTGTTCTTTCAAATAAAAATACTAAAGATTAAGGTTTTTTACAAAAAGTAATTTTAAAGCATTAAAATAGCAGAAAAATGTGTCTGAAATCTATGTCCGACACCGTGGAATTGCCCTTGTAGGCACAAACCAAATAAATTAATAGATAGTTATTTTAAAGGTTTTTTTCTCTAGAAGCTCAACTGAAAAATAGTTGATGTATTTACAGTAGCTAACTTAAGCGAAATTTCACTAGCAACAATAAATATTTGAGGCTGAAAAGCAGCTAAATGGGCATATCTCAATAACTGATGTTTTGAGATAACTGCTGTTAAAGTTTAGAGGTTATGTTTGGCTGTCAACGTTGGCAGTCGTCTATGCATAAAGGGCCTAGTGCCCCCCATCGATATACCGGTATAACAAACATTGTGTTTATATATCGATGGTGCCACCAGCTTTAAGCGTCATAAGGTTATGGCCAATTAGAAAACATGAGGAAACGAAATGGCGATTCTCCTTTAAAAGAGCCCATCTTGAACCTAGGCCCCCTTTTAGCAGCTACAACCTCATTTACCATAATAACTCAAAATGGTGGACATATGAACATCTAACTAGCGTAGGCTACTTGCAAACTAAGATTAACTTAGCCATGGATAAAGTGACCTAAATGAAGAAAAAATACATTTAGCCTAAATAAAGAAACTAATGTTCTTTGGGCTACTCTACTTGGAAATTATCCAAATTAATTTGTTTGTTAACTTATTTCGGTACTTTCCTGTTAAAGGGAACATTCATTATTATCGATGATTTTTTAGATATATCGATATTTTTGTTTACCGATCCATTACATATTGACAACTGATCTTGTTTAGGATAAAATAGTCAATTATATGGATTAAGAAATGAAACTGTTCTAAGCTAACCTAACATAACCAACCAAACTTGCTGTAGGGCCTACTATTTAAAAATTCCTATTGATAACAGAAAAGGCAAGTTAAACATGGAATGTTACACAGCAAGTTTGGTTAGTTACGTTAGGTTATTTTTTTAGAACAGTTTCATTTCATTATTGTTTGTTGATGATACTGAACAATATTTATCGTAACTTAGTTGTCAGCTGATATGTTGCAATTTATTAATATTGATATATCGAGAAAAGTCATCGATAATAATGAATGTTCCCTTTAACAGGAAAGTACCCTTATTTCCGAGTGGAAATTTCCTAAAAACTTTGACAAGGGTCATTTTAGAGCCTGGGGCTTTGCGGTGCGAATGCCGTGCCAGCCAGATATCAGTGACCGGTTTCGTGTGCGGAGGGTATGGGGGTTGAATAATCGACCAAGGGGGGGGGGGGGAAGCAGGATGAGCAAAACTTGTTTGAGGGATAAAATGAAACTACTATAAAGTAGCCAAACGATGATGATTAAGAAGTTACAGTATGAAAAAATGATAGGAAGGTTTAAACTTACTAATCAAATCAATATTTTCAATTGGTAACTTATTAGGGTAGCCTGGTTAAGAAAATATGCCTGGTCTCCGTTAGATCCTGCCCACTACACCCCCTTCCACTGTAACTCTTTCCCTGAATCACTCTTACGCTCTGAGTCAAACGGCACTCGGGCCTACCTGACGGTTAATAGGTTAAGCTCAGTATTACCATGAAATGACCCACAACGGCAAAGAATAGGATGGCACCCCGAAGAATAGGCTCCACTTCCCGTTATTTCCTTCTTGGTATTAGGCCTATTTGGATATAGGCCTAACTTAAGTAAGGGACTATCTTACTGAAACCCACAGCAAATTAGGCTTAAATTGTAAGGGTCCAAAAGCTGTATTTTTAGCAAGCCTCTAGTCCTCTTGTGTTTTAGGTTACTACACCTTAGCCTTTAAAGACGTAAAAATAAGTCGTCTAGGAATATTTGACCAGTTAGGAGATTAGGCCTAGTCCTAACATATTTAGCGAAATAAATTAGCTAACATACCTTAAGTATGAGTGCAAAATAGTTAAGTCAAAAGAACGGTAAAATAGAGTTTAGAAATTTATAATTAGCGAAGCTAAAGGTCTGTTGGGTACAGTTTCTTAACTGGGCTATGCTAATATTGATTGAAACTATAGAATTGAAAATATTGCTAATAATCGATATTTTAAATCTATTATAAAATTAACCTAACCTAACCAACCAAACTTGCTGAGGGTGAAAACATTCATGAAGGTTTTTACTAATCGAATCGATAGTTTCAATAGATATTAGCATAGCTCAGTTAAGAAACTGTACCAGGTCTGTTTATTAATTTGAAGCACAAACCATCGTACAATATAATGTACGCTACTCTTTATTTACGGTATTTGATCAAATGTGAGATCAAAACAGGCCTAACTTACAATGGACAGTACTAGGCCCAGGCCGCCCTATTACTGTACTAAACTAGTACCATCGTATTGAATTTCGCCACGTTACACGATTGGGATTCGTCAGACAAACTTCATAATTTACTATTAAACAGTTAACTAAAACTTCATAAAATTCTAAGTTATTAAAAATACTTACATAGGCTAGCGATGTAGAGGTTAGTAGTACTAACTAGTAGAGATGAGATGAACGTTTATGATCGAATTGTTTTTGTTTGTTCGCCTTTTTTAGGTTAGTTTTAGGAAAGTGGGTCAAACGACATTTTTGTAACATGGAGTCTTCTCTTACTTTTTTGATACACTATATAGAATACAATTTATTTTCTTCGAAGTTTCATATTTTTATTTACTGACATACATAGGCTACTCCCAACTCTCATGCAACGTTATTAATAATATTGCGTGACCAGGCTA